CCATATATATATATATACATATATATATATATATATATATATATATATATCTATACATTTATGATCCGGAGGAGAGAGGGAGGAGAAGAGCAAAGGAGGAGAGCGGGGGGGGGGAGGGAAAGGGGGGGGAATGGACACCAGCAGAGGAGGAGAGGGGGAAAGGAGGAGAGGAGAGGAGAGGATGGTTGTGACTTCCAATTTTATCAGTATCTTCATATTCCGTCTGCCTTTGATACCAAAGGTAAGGGTGGAATCTACCTGAGCATGCGATGAAGCGTGTGGAGATGAAGGATGAAGAGATAAGATCTGTTAGGGTGATGAAGGTTTGTTGAAGATTTCTTCGGAAGAGGTCAACAAGTGGTGAAAAAGAGGTTGGGTTGGAAGGAGATAGTCATTCTGTGACGCTACGATGACCTACTGGGCATGACTTGTCATATGATTTTCATGAACTCTGCAAGTCCGATAATGCTTCGCTGAGAGGCGAGGCACGGCATTGACGTTGGTGAATCAGATCACCTGCAACAGCTTCTGAAGCAACTGGATGCCATCTGCAGCGGGGGTTCGGAGCAGTCTTCGATCTATGAGACTTGGAACGTTGAGAACGGGGAGGCAGAAGTCTTGAGAGACCCCAAGTGAGCCGATCCTGCTGCCTGTGGACGTCTGACCATGAAACCAGAAAAGTGCTCAAGACTGCCTTGTCTAGAAGCACCCAGGTATTTGGTGAGGGCGCTGTGATCATTGTGGTGAAGCTTGCTGTTCTACTTCGGTGAATTGCAGGCAAGCAAGACGGTGGATTTTGAGGAAAGGATCATGGCTGGGAGGTGATGCAATCTCATGTACTGAAGCCTCGGGGGAGCGAGCCTGACTTTGAGACGACCGCAGGTGGTACACTTCATGCGTGGTGCAACACGATGAGCAGCACCTCGAGCGAATCTTGAAGTCTCTTCCTTCTCACGGCGTGCCTTCGCAATGGAGGGAGGATCAGGAGGAGCAAGGGGCTGGTATCCGCCATGGCCAGTGCGTGTGGGTCTTTCTTGGGCAGAACTTGCCCTCAGCATCGGAGCAAGAAGGACAAGAGAGGAGGGGAGAGGTAGAGCCCATGCGGGGAAGGCCGGAGCACACGGACATGGTACGTCACTCGGGGACCTGGCACATGCAGATCTCGGGGACTAAGACCTGGAGGATCCGCCCCGGGCAGGAGGGATGGCCGCAGGGGTCTAGCAGAGAAGCTGCCGAAAAGCGGGTAGAGGAGGAAGGAGAAGGAGAGGAGGTGAGGAGGCTGAAGATAGTCTGCAACGCCGGAGACCTGCTGGTTATCAACACGAAAGCATGGTTTCATCAGACAGAAATCCCCTCGTCGTCATCAGCTGCTGGAAACTTGTCGGTCAGTGCGGCACGAGACTTTTGTTTCGTCACCTCTGGGACCGAGGAGAGCATGGAAGTTGTCGATATGACAAACGTCGAGAGCTCGTGGGCTGCAGGGGACGCAGAGGAGGGAGAGCTGGTGCTCAAGGAGGCTCCTATGGTAGCAGTTCAAGATCCTTCCAGCAGAGCAGAGTATCTGTGCTGCACTTTCTGCGCCTATCCCCTGCTCGATCACGAACAAGAGTACCGCCTGGTAACCGGGCAGATTTCCGATCTGTCCGAGGTCCTCCGGTATGAGTCTGGTTCGGTCCCCAGCCTCCCTCCTGTGGATGGGTTTGACATTGAGGACGAGGATTGGAAGGGGAATAAGAAGAAGAAGGATACGTGCTCTGTGGACGGCCTCCACTTCTGCAGTGCAGCATGCAGGAACAAAGAGCTTCACACGTCAATTCATGGAAGGAGGAGCCAACAAGGAGGAGGAGGAAGAGGTGGAGGAGGGAAGGGGGCAGGGGAGCTCGATATCTTGCTGCAGAGGCTGTTGATCTCACTGAGCAGTGGCCACTACATGACTTTTGAGTTGGTCAGGAAGTTCTTCATCATCCTCGTTTCCTCGTCGCAAGATCTCGAAGGAGCAGGAGCGTCGTCTTCCTCGCTAGAGCGACTGCGGCAGAAGTTCGCGCAGCTGGTGGAGAAGAGGAAGGGTGGAGAGCAGGAGTGGTGGGACGTTGTGGCCCTTGCAGACATGCAAAGAGACACTCCCAAGGGAAGGTCGAAGAAGATAAAAGTTGAGCTGCACAGAGGGCCCGTTGCTCCCTATCAGCAGGCAGATCAAGTGAGAGGAATGAAGCTCGATGAGTATCTTGCTCAGATGCAAGGGGAAGGAGATTGTTCCATGAGGCCGAACAAACGAAGCAGGGGAAGCGGGAGGGGAAGAGAGGAAGGAGTCGACTTGCACGCTGCTGAGAAGGCCTACGGGCTTGTCATCTCGCAGAAGAAGCCTTTTGTCGTGGAGCGAGTCTTTCCTGGAGGGTCGGCAGCAGCAAGTGGAGTGAGGGAGGGAGACGGTCTGTTCCGGATCGACGACCGGGGCATCAAGGAGAGGCAGGACATGGAGGAAGCTCTGTCCGAGTTCGACCAGCTCGCCCTAGCGGAGTCGCAGAAACTCTTTGGTGAGCGACTGCCTCCTCTATGGTGCAGTCTGGAGTGGACGTTCGAGAGGAGGACGCGAGGGTCGGACGGAGATCGTGAAGAGGAGAGCGAGAGGAGGAGGGAGAGCCTGAGGAGGTTGGCAGTGTGCATGTGGTCCCTGCTAGTTGCCGAGTTTGCGGCGTCCAAGGTTTTCAAGGTGGATGAGGAGCTGCTGAAGTTCTTCAGCTGGGAACGATACTCGCAGACGCTCTTGCACCTGCACCTCCACGCCTGGGAGCTCGGGGAAGGCTCGTCGCTAGTCGCTCCTTCCTCCTTGACTCGATACGCTCGTGCTTGTCTGTCATGTGAGGACCAAGACCTTCGTGCGGACGCAGCAAAGAAACTGAAGCAACTGAAGGAGGAGGAGGAGGAGGAGGAGGAGGAGGAGGAGGAGGAGGAGGAGGAGGAGGAGGAGGAGGAGGAGGAGCAGGGAAAACAAGAAGGTGGGAGCAGGGGAGGGTCACAGAACAAGAAGCAAGCGAGCAGAAGAACGGGAGCTACAGAGGAGGAGGAGGAGGAACAGGAAGAGATTGGGCAAGATGAGGCTCTCGCTATCCTTGAGCAAGTGGCTTCTGGCTTGACTCCCTGTTTCACGGGTCGAGCATTTTATGTCAAGAGCAGCCGGCTGGCCCTCGCAGAGGAGGATGAGGCGAACTGTCATCTTGCTCTTGAGAACGAGCAGCTGGAGGCTGTGGTGGTGGCGAAGAGAAACTTAAGAGCCGGGGAGGTTCTGACCGTCTCCTCGCAAGACGTTGAGCAGGACGGTAGGGACTAGGCGATAGCTGACTGCCAAACTTTGGGTTTACTTCCGATCTTCAAATTATAATCGCCAGGAGCGAATAGTCACAGATGTATGTACAAGATTCATGGTCGGGAGAGGGAGGGAGGAGAGGAAGGAGGAGGGCTGCAGAGCGGAGATACGGGGACGAGGCCTTCGCAGGTCAAGCTCAGTGCATGTCGTTGACTCGCAACGAGACAAGTCGGAACTCGAAGGAGTCGCTGAGGGTAGACATGTCAGCATAGGAATCATCACGTCCGCTGCTATCTCACCCGAGACTGCAGAGATTCCCCTCTGTCAACCAGCAGTCCCTCGTCAGCGTCACGTGCCGAGTGTGATAGCAGAGCAGAGTTCCGCCAACCTTCAAACGTTTAGACTTTGAAAGCATCCACACCATCAGCACAAGGTTCACCTGCTTCAGATGGAACTCTGTGTATCTCAAGCAATCGTCCGAGCTGTGCTTGTGAGGACACACGCATAAGAACGACGTCTCGTCCTTCTCATTCAGTGATCCGTCCAGCGCTATGCAGAAGTCGTTCCCCAAGTCGCTCGCCGTCAACGCCAAGTAAGGAGGGATCCGCATCCGGTAACGAAGAATGCAAGAGGAAACAAAGTTCTTCGTATTCACCTCCAAGGAGAGCCTGAAACAAGCGCTGCGAGCCGCGAGCGAGCGCTCAGAGCAGCTCAGTTGCGATGCCATGAGTTTTACACCCTCGTCCCTCTCAAACTCTCTCCAGCTCTTGTGCCAGTCAAGGAACGGCAGAAAACCTTCTGTGTGCGTCGGCTCGTGCCTCCTTATCCTCTCCTCAAGGTCCGCGGGAAGGATTGAAGAGGAAACCTGATCAAACACAAAGTCCCCATTGAAGTGCTCCGGCCTTGCACACGTTGGCTTCACCTGTGCGACATCTTCGCAGTTGACAAAGCGCAAGAAGGCGAATTGATTCGAATCGTCAAACCACACGTTTCTGAGCAGCAATGGCAAGATATGTACACATTTGTCGTCAAATGTTAAGAAATGAAACATTGTTGGGAAGAGTCGTTTCGCGTCGCTCGAGGCTTTCAACACTTCTCTCAACAAAAATTGCTCACTTTGATGCACAAAGTGAAGGATACAGTGACCAACAGGACCACTGAAGGGGATAGAAACGTAAAATTTCTCCAACACATTGCTCATGGATATGATGTTGAAGTTGGCTTTGCTTACTACCAAGAAAGGAAATGGACTGTCCAAGAAAGCACGCTTATATAACATGTTCGACGTGCTCGAGATCCCAGGTGCCCCCTTCTTCTGATCCTTGACGATCCTTCCCACATGTTCCAAGAGATCCTCCAGAAGCTGAGTTACACTTCTACCGGAAACCAAACATGACCGATGACGGCGGATTGGTGAAAGGATGGGAACAAGCGAGTCTATAGTTTCCACAAGTTCACGCGTTTGGTCCCTGTTGGCAGACTTCTGTAGTCTCTTTACAAGGAGCATCTCAGCATTGGACATCCTTCTCTGCTTGGAAGGGTCCGAATTCTGATTATCGCCCATGGCACCGAGTTAGTCGATTTGAACCTTTTCTAACGAATTTTGACTTGTGTGCGCTTCTTCACAACCATCCTCGTCACGAGCTTCTTATATTGCCCCAGAGTTTCTTTTTGCTGGCTGAAATGAGCGCAAGAGTGTTCTTCATCAACAACTTGACTGCTCCGCCTCCCACTTGTTAAAGTGCAAGCCCGACTTCTTTGCTCTCAACCCCTGCAGACAGAAGCGGTGTGGGAATGTTGCTGCAGACCTCTGATGCCTTCATGTTGTGACGACAGCAATCTGTCTCCCCTATGCTGCTCTGAACTTCTCCTGCTCTATTCGTTTCCAGCTCCTCACTTATTACTGCTGTTCTTCCCGTTTGCCGCTCATGCTACCAGAGGAGCGGGGGAGCCAACCTTGGAAAAGACAGCTTTTCAGAAGCTACCTTGGGGACGATTTATAGAAATTACAAAAAAACAACTTTTGAGCGCTTTAAAACGGAGATGACTCCTTTTTTAAATAAAATAGATGTATAGTTAAAACACACTTTTGTATTTTCGAAAAGATCTGTGATCTAGAATCTACTGGTGCACAATTTAAAAAATGCTCTCAGAAATGAAGGGTGGAACGGCCAACCCCTTCCAGACGTTTATTATCCAAAAAGTACCCGTACGTCTCGAACTACCTCCTTCACTCTAGACTCCAGTGCCTTGTGGTATCGCATACCTTCTTTCGAGCCTCTTTCTCTGGTTCAATTCATCGCTGTGACCCCCCAGCCCCTAACGAACCTCCCACCCCACCACCAATTTTGCAAGCATCTTTTTCGGCCCACCCCTGCAATCATTATGTTCGCCCCAACAACGGAGAATTGAGTCATGCATCATCATCGACGTGTGTCACGTCTATAACTAATGTAAAATCATTTTCAAATAACCCCCACCCCCCTCCTTCCCCTAGAGTCTGTCCATCTCTACAACCGATATGCCCTTCAATCAAATCATTTTGAGCACTTGGTTATGCTGACCGTTTGAAAAGGATACCTTTGGAGTTTCTGAGCACATGATTCCACCGGGGCGGATTTGACCACTACCCTACCCTACCTCCCTCCTTCCCATGAATCACCCGCCACCGTTCCACGTCGTTGTCTTTTAAAATAAAGTTGTAGAGTATTTACACCATTTCCTATCAAAAAGAGAGGTTTTCACTTCGACAACTAATAGTACTCATCAAGTAGCTCGGGTAGGCGGCCGCGACGTCCTGCTAATGCGATCAACTAGGGAACACAAACAGAGAACAGGCAACAATGACAAACAATTGAGTCGACCGCTGGGATGTAAATTCAAGTGACAAAGTGATTACCTGTATGACGAAAATCGTTGGGTTTGCAATGTTGTCCACTGCACAGTCATATCTCTTGTCATCACATCGCAACGGCAGAAGGTCCATCTGTCGATGTCCAAGACAGATGCTTCCCACAACAACATCGGCAACAATCAACTTCTTGATCCCATTCAAGCTCTCAGTGTATGTGTCAGAATAGTTGGCACGACTGCTGAAATACGAGCCTTTGCCATAGATGTCTCCTGTTCTTGAGCCACTGAGCAAGGGTTTGAAGCCAGCATCCACACCTTGAATGATTGAAGGGATGGCAGCATGCTTTGTGCCATGGAACAACTTTCTCACCATAGAGCTTTCGTTCCATTGAGAACCATGCTTCGATTTGATGGACTTTTTGGCCAGGATGTATCTGTCATGAAGGTATTTGTTCTCAACTCGCATTATGTTCAAGATCCTCCTGAAATTTTGAGGGCAGCTGCTATTGAAAATTTTCACAAGCTCCTGGAACTCTGAAGAGTCCTCCGCAACTCTGTACAGGAACGATTCGGACTTTTTGCTCCTCTTCGACTTGGTGACCCAATGCCTCCGATCTGTATCCTCGCTCTCAAGAGCCTTTCTCTTTGCACTCTTTCGCGGTGGCGCGACTCTCCGAATCTTTCGACGATAGCCCGTGTCCACATTGATCTAACGGAATGTCAGATCTGTTTGAGCTCGCAGTGACTCCGACAAAGGGACAAGAGTACCTGCTCCAAGGAGGATAAATCGAACTGATATGTGTTGAAAGTTTGGACGCGAGGGTTCTCAAAGCACGTCTGCAGGGTAGATTGTCCGGAGCTAAAGGCTCTTTCGAGATCTCGAATGATCGAGGGATCCATCCGCTCCCATTCATCTCCATACAAGCTGCCAAGCACATCTGCATTACAGAAGTCGTGGCAAGGAAACACAAGTAATGTTCTCACTTAAACTCCCAGTAAGCCTCGTTGCTTGCTTGCTTCCTTGTGCAGTCATTGTCAGTTGGAGTTTTCCTTTTTTTCTTAATATTGGAACTCAAAGTAGGATTTGCTGATGTATGTGAAAACGACAGGTCCACGCCAGAGTCGTAGTTGCACGAGACGGAATGAGTGCTTTGTAGTGACGAGCTGTTTGTACCCATGAACGCTTCGGAGAACGATGATGACGATCCGATTTTGCTCTTCCTGGTCTTCTTGGTCTTCTTGGTCTTGGTTTCTTTTGAGCTCTTCCGCCTTTTAGTTTTCTTGAAACTATTGGAGGAGGCTGTGAGTGCGTTCGCAATGGTGTAAGCTCCAGCTGCTAGGAGTGATACAGCAAAGATGGCTTTGAAGACCATGCACAGACTGATTAGACTGTGTCGTCCTAGAGAAGAGTATCCTGTAAACATACTCATCAATCAAAGCTTCTACCTCGACCAACAGGTATCTACACCAAAATGTGGACTACATTCTCTGTTTCTTCCTTTGTTTCTTCCTGTTCTCTTCCTTGATGATTCAATGTGACTAAGCTGAACTGATCTCAATACGATTGTCAATCTCTACTTTCTAGGTCCAAAGAATGCCTGTAATCATTCCTGCTTCATGTCAGAACTTTGTGCTCTGAACTTCGCCGCCTGTCCTGCCCAGCCATTTCCTAGCTCGAAACACCCACCCCTCCCTGGCCCTCCGGGATCACCTCCGAGAGTCCTGTGATCACCCCTGCTAGACTCTGTACAAACACCCCTGCTTTGGCCAAACTCTCCTACCCCCACCACCTTATGACCCCCTTCTAACACGCCGCTGAAGGGAGTGAAACCGCGAAAGATGTTGAACCATTTTGACTGCCCTACTTGCACCTCAGTTGCACCTGCCGTGACCCGGCAGACTCGCCGGGCCCGGGCCCGACTTTGCCAGGGGTAATGGCGGTGCTGACAGAGGGAGCGAAGGGAGCACAGGGAGCAGATTGAGAGAGGAGGAAGCGGGTGGAAGAAAGGAGAGAAGCGAGAGAAGCGAGGAGTGGTGCAGGAGGAGAAGGTCTTTTGAGGATCACATGTCAGATTGCCATTCACGGGATGCGTCCCAACTAGTTTGGTGCGAGAGGACAGTTCACGGGGGGATGAATAGTTGCGAAATCCTTTGCAAGATCGATCTTTTTTTCTTCTTCTTGCATGCTTTGTGTGTACCTTGATTGCAATGTGAGTTCAAAAATGAGATGAGGTGATCACACACCCATCATCACAACATCTTTTCGCTGACTGAGGAAACAAATCCTCCACTCTCTTTGATTCGGAATCTTTTGCCAATTTACCATTAAACGGATTTTATTTATCTCACAATTTCTACTCAGGATGTTATCACGACTGCACATGATAAACTCAAGGCCATTCTTGTGCTTCAAGCAAGGTTGGGTCAGTAGAGCCACCTCGTTTCAAAGAAGCTGCCAACATACCGCTGGCGTTCTACGAAGCATTGTGATCAAACTGATGTGCATTCCTCTAACAACACAAACCAACGCTCGTTTCTCAAGTACGCCTTATCAGCGACATCAGCAGCCGTCCTGGCGTCCATGATGCTGCAGAACTCTGAAGAGCGACGAACCAGGAACGAGGCGATGGAGCAGCCGAAGCTCGTAGCCGAGCTGGTGACGGGGATGAAGTTCCCGCTGACCATGGAGATGCCTCCATTCCAGGTCACGTCTTACCAAGGCCACCGTCCTGGTTATGTCTACAAGATGGGGCCTAAAGGGGTGGGGTACTACCCCGATGCCTACAGAGGAGGGAACAAGTACGTCCACGCGGAGACGGAGGCGAAGCAGCAGCACCTGATAGGCATCGGAATGCGATGCATGCTCCAGAAGTGCGAGTTTGCCTTGGCTCAGGCGTATGCGATCGGGCTGTATATCGACGAGAGCTTCGTGGAGGATGAGAGTTTGGCCCAGGGAAGGCACCTCGACGCAAGGCCGCTAGAGGACCCGCGGGTTCGCAAGACGCTCAGGCTGGTGATGGCGAGAGAAGTGAAGGGCCCGCACATCGCCAAAGGGTTCGACCGGACTCTCATCAACGTCCTCCGCAGGATGACAAACTCGAAGAAGAGCCCAGGGAAGGACGCTCTCAAGAAGTTTACCAGCATTTTCTCCAGCTGCGGGACTTTGCAGCAGAACGATGACGTCATGCTGTACATGCCGGGAGACGGATCGCTCACTATCTTCATCAAAGGGGTAAGGAGCTTGCCTTCATACAGTCTCTTGCACGATACTGAATGCTCTCTTCTCCCCCCCTTTGGCCTCCCCTGTGCTTTTTTTTCTGTTTGTGCCTTGTGGTTTGCTTCTCTTGTCCTCCTTCCTCCCTGCCCCACCCCAGGAGTCTCGTGGAAGGATAGACTCGCAGTTGCTCTGCGACGCGGTGACGGAGATGTACATCGGCAGCAAGCCAGTCGGGCCACTGATCCGCAGCAACTTCCTAGCAGGGTGAGCAGACCATTTTGTCGCCTGCTGCTGCCGCTGATTGTTTTTGTGAAGATACGCACTGGCAGCCAAAGACGGCCTAACAAACGTCCAGCAGCCCCCGGGCTCTGTCCCATGTCATTGAAGCTCAAGGAAGCATGTTTGTTGTGTAATCTCCTGTTCCTTCTGCCCTCATATTCTAAGGTACAAGACATTGTAATAGATGTACCAGACAACAGCTGTCAGCTGCGGAAGAAGAGTCACACAAAAGAACTTTCACGCTCGTTCGCTCACCACAAAGGAAGAGCTCTGAGAAAGGTCATAGGCCATGATGAGTTGGAACAGGAAAGGAGAAATTCCGAGGCCTTGCAATCAAACATCTTCTCAGGTTCGTTCCAAAAGTATTCTACCTACCCAGTGCAGATGTAGTGAACACACGGGAGAAAGTCGGTTTGAACTCTGTCTTGATGAAAAGACTCTGAAAGGAGACAGTGCCATCAAAGACAAGCAGCCCCACGAAAAACATCTCGTTTACCATTGACGTGTGAAATCCATACTGCACTGGTATGGAGATGATATATGCAGTGATAACTGAAAGAAGCTTTGAAGCTGTCGACTGCTCAAGATCGAGTAAGAATTATCCATTTAATTCTTCCAGCACTCACCGGCAGAATCACCTTTAGCATCGTTTCAAAGACTCTGTACATGGAAAAGTACACAAGATACCCAAGGAACCTGTCCTTACAACGATCAAGACCAGGATCCAACTCAAGTACATGAGCAAAACTTCACCCGGAAAATTGGAAAGCTGGCAAATTCCTCAGCTCAACGCACTGACGAGGATGTTTTGTTCGAAAAGGTCCCAATATAAGATCAAGAGGATGTGTCCCATGGCTCCGAGGAGGACCGTCCCCCCTCTCGTCTTCCTTTGATTCCAATGTCACTCCCTCCTTCTCCCCGAGCCTCACGGGAATATCTCCACCTCCCTCCCGCTGCCTAAGGACGAGAGGAGTCTCCTCCTCCTGCGTGTCGACAGACAGTCGTTCTGTCTTCAAGTCATGATCCTCTCCCGCTTCATCACCGGTTCCACTAAAACCCGCAGCCGGGCACTGGTCCTCCGTTCTTTTGTCCGACGTCTCGTCTCGAAGCCTCAATACTTCATCCTCTGGTTCCATCACAGTCTTCTCAGGTGGGACCTCCTGCTCTCGCCCATCATCTGTTCCCATGTCCCCTGCCTTTGCGTGCATTTCATCCACTGCCGCCTTGTGCTCCTGAGCGTTTGTATTGTTGGGAGAGTGTGTTTCACTCTCAACAGCCTCATTGGTTTCATTTTCCGACTTGGTCGCGTCGATAATTTCTTGTTCAGATTCAGAAGGGTTGTCAAAGAATGTAGAGGAGCGGTTCAACGAATAATCGAGTTTGGATACGTTGACAACATGCACTTCATTCTCCTTTGAACCCCCTCTCAGTTTCAGAGCCACTAGGAGCATCTTGCTTTGAATCTTGATCCCGTGATCATCTTCTTGCCCTTTTTCAGCATCATCAGCAGGATTATCAGAATCTTCAGCTGTGGTGGGCAGAAAGAGCGACATCGTAATTATACCAACAAGTATCCAACACATTAAACGCGTCATCCTATCCGATCCACCGGCTTACCCCTTCCTTCCTGTCCTCCTCCTCCTCGCTCACTTCCTCAACTGCCGGATGTCTTCAGCTGATCTTCATATCCTGCATACCGACTGCCTCCTGCTCCCCCTCCCATTGCGCCCTCCCTCGCTCCATGCGCTACCCAACACAATGTTTTGATTGTTTTACTCAAAATTATGACAGAGGTTGCCTCAGAGCTTGTGCACCGGTGATTTTTACCATGATACCGGGGGAGGGCGAGGGGGTAGGGTAAAACACCTAAAGCGGCGTGTATGATTTCTAGCGTGTGCGTCATGCAGAGCTACACTGGCTGCGCTCTCGTCCTCGTCCTCCAACTCTCGCTTCTCTCTCCTTCCCTCTCCTTCTCACCTTCCTATCCGTCTCTCCTCTCGTCTGCTCCTCGCTCGTCTCAGTCGCTTCATCTGTCTGGGTCGTCTGTGCAAGGACTATGTGCAGGCAAATCGTCGAACCCTCGTTGGAGCATGCAGCAAGGAGACGTTCAGAAGACTATCGACGTCTTCACTTCCTATCTTTCTTCACTTGCTCGACCCACCAGCGGGTCGTTTGTGATCGGATACAAGGCTCAGCCCGACCTTGACTACAAGAACCCGACCATGGAGCTGCCAGTGCGGGAGTTCAGCGAGACTTTACCGTCGGTCAAACCAAAGAAGCCCCTGGAGCTGTATGAGTTTGAGGCATGCCCTTTCTGTCGCAAGGTCCGCGAAGTCATCAGCATGCTGGATCTCGATGTCATGATCTACCCCTGCCCACGTGATGGAGACAGGTTTCGGCCCCAGGTCGTCGAGATGGGAGGAAAAGCTCAGTTCCCGTACCTGGTGGATCCAAACACAGATTTCAAGTCTTACGAGAGCGACAAGATCATCAAGTACCTTGTACAGACATACGGAGACGGCATTATCCCCTTGCCCCTGTCCCTGGGCCCCCTCACTACCGCCTCTGCGTCGATCCCTTCGCTCTTGCGCAACGGCAGAGGGAGGCAAGCGGAGAAGAGCCTAGCTCCCCAGCCAGAGCTTCCCCTGCGCTTGTGGTCCTTTGAGTCAAGTCCATACTGCCGCATTGTGCGAGAGAGACTTTGCGAGCTGCAGATCCCCTACCAGTTGTTCACCGTGGCGAGAGGCTCGCGCAAGCGGGAGGAGCTGAAGGAGATCGCAGGGAAGGTGCAGGTGCCGTATCTTGTGGACCCCAACACGGGCAAGTCCATGTTTGAAAGCTCATCCATCCTCGACTATTTGAATGACACGTATGGCAAAGGCTACAGCCCCAAGGTGGAGGACAAGGTGGAGGAAGTTTCGCCAAGGGCAGTTGAGTTCAATGTGGTGCCTGAGGATCCCGAACCTGTCAAGGTCGATGCTGAGGTCCTTGAAGATTCGGAGGATATCTGAATGTAGGGCCTGTTGTAGAGTACAGTGGATGCTAACTTAGATGGCTCGGTAATCATATGTTCAGAGTGAAGTTACATACATGGTGGAGGTACCAGATATGTCTTCATAAACCAGAAGTTATCTTTCCTTCTCCCCCCGGCTTCCCTCAACAAGAGTGTTTTGATTGGGTGATCATGGAGCATACCACATGTTTTGTCTCCATGAAAGTGTCAGCAGCGAAAAAGACACTCTTCAATACAATCAGGTTTGAGATTTCTGCAAGCGCCCATGGTATTTCTCAAGTTGAGCATGCTGTGGGTTTGGATGAACAAATGCCAGAGCTGCCATCAAGTAAGTTACACAGAAGAAAAGTTCTATGACAGATCATGGCCAGTCTTGACGAGAGGAGAGAACTTCTTTTCTTCATGCGCAGAAGAATGTTGTTCTCGCTCCTTCGTATCATGCCTCTAGTTTCGACACCACTCACAAGTGTGATCCCCGCATTCGAGAGGTAATCGGAGAATTTCAGGATGATGCATTCACCATGACTCAAATCTCCCTTCATGGAAGAAATTCTAACTCAAATTGCTTTAGTATTTGATCAGAAGTGACCTTACTCGAGAACTGAGACCTCTGGTATACTTCATCAGCGTTATACCTGTCACAGTGCTTCCCCCATTTGTGTGAATACGAAAGCGTTCATGTTGGTGCATAAAGCGTGCTTTCGGGTAACTCTTGCTGCTCCTCCATTCCCTTCTTCAACCCTCCCTGGTCTGCTCATTCCCTTTCATTATTGTCTCCTTCTCCTTCCCTTCCAATCCACTATAATCCAGTCTCCTCGTCTTCTCAAACGCATACGACCGTGTACGGCCGAGTTCCCGGGAAGCTTGAAACACCAAATACTCGCATCATGCTGCCAACTGGAGTATCGGCCGACCAGGCCCGATTCATCCCCTCTCGCTTGCTTATCATCCAACTCAACGAACGTCTCGTTTCCTCCTCCGATCTGCATCTTTGTTAGGCTCCATTTTGCTTTCCTGCGCACAGTGTACATGTGCGGTTTCAAAGTTTGATTACTCGTTATCAAACCGTTACGTGATAAGAAGGCTAAAGCCATGTGTAAAAGGCTCATTATTCGTCGCAACCTGTTCCTGACCACCGGTCCTCCTAAGGTACCCCATCCAACTCATGAAGCCATTGGGCTATAACCCCTCCTTGCTCACACAACCGGTCTGCTTTTGCAGCACCTCCACCCCCCCTTCCCCCTCCCCCCCCTCCGCCCCTCCCCCCCCTCCTTTTCGACCCCCATTGGTTTGATATTACATCAGTGATATCCCAACCGTCAAATCCATGCAAACCACCCCCCTAAGTTATTATTGCAAAAGTACCAATGACCCACCCCCCACCAGCGACATCAATAGTACTACCCCCCAGACTATCCTCCCCACCCCTTTGACTTTCCTCTCTAGTCCCCTTGTTGACCCGCACGCTCCAAGAAACCAGCCGCTGAGCATGGCCGCTCCGGATGAGGAGCAGAGGAAGAGGATGGTGCGGGGAATGCAGGCGATGGGATCATGGAATTCATTTTCCAGCGAAGAGGATGACGATGAGCGCAGGAATTCAGGTCTTTGGGCTGGTGGGATTTATTGTGAGAACGGCCTGCAACAGAGCCTGGCCATGCACCAACAATCTATGCAAGGTGGGTTTGGGTTTGGTGGGGCATCGGGTTCACAACAAACCATTGGAACGTCAAATACCGCAAATGGTCTTGCACCAAATTTCGCTGGTGGACAGAATGGTGAAGGATCATTGAACTTCGATTACAACCCTGCAGATGCCAGTAGCGGGGAAGAGGATGTAAAAATACTTGCCAGGCAATTCCAGAGCACGGGGCCTTTCGGAACACACAACAGCGAGGACGAAGATATCACAGGATTTGGCATGCGGGCGCCGAATGCGCCAGGGTCCAACTCTGGAGTAATGCTGCAGGGGCCGATGTCCCCAGAAGGTATTCCATATTTGTTCCCAGAAGGTGAAAGCAAGTTCAACGTTGCGAACCCACAACACATGTCGATGGATGATGCGCTTCCTTATGTCATGTGTTTTCCAGAGGACGTGGAGTCGTTCGTTTCCAGTGAGGATTCTTCCTACTTCAACAGCGATGAAGAACAGCCGCAGACAGAAAAGAGAGTCAGGCAGGCTTGTCAGGCTTGCAAGCAAAAGAAAGCAAAGTGTGACGACGATACCCCATGTGCTCGTTGCATCGCAGATCACCAGGAGTGTGTCAGGGAGGTGAACTTGCCATACAGGCGCATGAGGCAGAAACGAAGGGAGCAGACGAAGCTGGCATGCAAGCCTTGCCGAAGGCGAAAGCTCAAATGCGAGGAGAATCGACCTTGCTGGAGGTGCTTGAGAGACGGCCAGGAGTGCATTGACGACAAGAGGAATCGAGACAAGAAGAGTGGCTCATCAGATGAGAGTGTGGAAGGTAGTAGCCATGAAGCCGCTTCTCCTCATGCGATTCCTGGCCTACAGATTGAGGATTGATCTGTACAGATGTGTGAATAAGATATTGGGGAATGTCCTTGAAACAATCTAGCACAGCACTGCGGCATGATATCTCCATGGACCAAGGACTTCAGATCAAATGTGCCAACAGACCGTCAAACAGGCACCAAACCTCCAAGTTCTGAGGTGATGGCAGAGAGCCTCGCAGTCAGAATACGGTCTGAGGCTGCGAGCTGGGGCGGATCAGAACGATCGCCGAGCATGGATCCCGCTCGCCGTTTGAAGCATACTGAACTAAGGCTAGTAAAATCCGATGGTCCGTAATGAAACACCGGCAACTTAAACGGCGGTGATTCAATGTGAAGTCACTCCAGTGGTGTTGACGCCGCCGTCCGGTGGGGGCAGCCTCTGATCGCTTAATGATGTATCGCATGCCAGCCGTGACGGTGCCATGCACTGTCCGAACGGAAGTTGCTAAGGTCCTCTCATAACCGTGTTCAATGATGATGATCGCGGCCGAGGGTTTCACCGTATCCTTGTTTCGTGTGACCTCGCAGCTCAGCTCAGTCAAGTCGACACGGCAAAGTTTGAGTTCCTGTGTCCACTGATGCAATTGCGGAAGTTCCGTTCAGAATCCCCTCCGGTCAGTGATGCTCTTCAGGGCCGGGCCCCCGGCCGCCCCGGCTTGACTCGAGGGCCTTGAGTCGGCCGACTCCCGGGCCCGGGACCCGACTCCAAATCCTGGATCCGATCCGCCCCAGGGTCCCCATGCAGAGCCATGGAGATGCGGGTGCGGTTTCAGTGAGAGCCGGCCATGCAGATAAAGATGGGCCGACGAATGAAGCGAGCAGTAACAGAGATGGCAGAGATGACTATGCAGAACGATCGATGATGCTGTGCATGTTTGTATTGCCATGATCGCTGTGCTGAATCTGAATACGATGAGGGGCGGAGGGATGTGTCCGGATTCTAGCAACGACATGACAACAGCCGGTATGACTTGATCGGCACATCGACCAACAAGATCTCATTGACAAGACAAGAGGATCTTATCGTGAAAAGATGAGAGGGCCTTGGAGTAGAGAACGCAAAACACAAAGATGATACCACCCGGTAGCAGCTGCAAGGAACAATGATTCGAACACTCTCAAGGCCCATGAGCTGTTTACCCCTCCTCCTCCTCCTCGCAGCCTGCTGGAAAGATTCGCTAGGAGCAGCGCACTTCCAGGACTTCGAAGGGTTGATCATGACGGCCGGAGGTTTCAACGGCAAAATGTTCATCTCCTCAGCCGAGTCGTACCTGCCCGCAGCTCAAAAGTGGCGCGAGGAACCCAGCATGAAGGTTGCCAGGGGCCACAGCGCGAGCTGTATGTTCAAGGGGAAGATGTGGGTGCTGGGAGGATGGAACCCGTACGAGTCCACTGGAGCCGAGACCATGGACTCAAGGGCGCTGCAGTCGATCGAGATCTTTGACACAATGAGGAACATATGGATCAACGGGCCAGACATGATATCGAGGAGAGCCTTCCACAAGGTTCAGGAAGTCTACTTGTTGTCTTTGTGACGATGTAATGACATGGGACGTCTTGTTGACAGTCTGTAGCCCTCAACGGGAACATCTTCGTGCTGGGAGGGTTCGACGGCCACAAGGATCTCGATCTCGTCGATCGCCTTGACATCGAGAAGGAGTTGTGGGTGCGAGGAAGCAGCTTCCGCACTCCTCGCAGCGCTCTCTCTGCTGGCGTCATCCGCAATCGGATCTTTGTGCGATCCTCTCCTCTCTCTCCCTGCTCGTTGACCCTCGGGTTTCAGATCCTTGGAGGACAGAACGGCCTTGACACTTTCTGCACTGTGGAGAGCATGGATCCGAGGGAAGGGAAGTGGCAGCAAGAGCCCGACATGCTCTACCATCGTGCGTATGCGGCATCTACGTTTGGAGGAGACTGCATCTTCGTCGCAGGTTGTCAAGATGTTGGGTTCAACCAACCTGACGTGTATTGGTTTGTGTCAGGAGGAAATTTTGCCATGCAGTTTTTGAACACAGTGGAGATGTTTGATGCGCGCAAGTCGATGTGGAGGATGCTGCCATCGATGAATGTTCCTGTATGCGATTTTGAGGCGTTGAGGTGAGATACTCTGACCTGATCTGCAGAGAAACGGGGCCGGGTTGGCTCTAGTCGGGGATTCACTGTACGCTCTTGGAGGCTTCGACGGTGCGGCACTTCCCTTGCCTTGCCCGATGGAGCTGAGAGATGCCAACAGGCAGAGCTGAGAACCTCAAAGTAGTGGAGAAGCTGGACATGACCAAGGATCTTCGGAAGCAGGAGTGGGAGGTGGGTGGTGGGGGAGGGGGGAGGGTCTCCTGACGTGCCCGTCTGCCTGCCCAGGTCTGTGAGGAGATGCTTCATTCCCGAGACGGGAGTGCGGTAGAGGTCGTGACCTCTGTCACGGAATGCTGGAAACAATGAAGATGTAATTTGAATGTGTTTTTTTCTTTCAAGTCAATGATTAAGATGTAACGATGCCAACCTATCCCTCCCTTGCACCCTGCTTCTTCTTCGGGCCAGAACCTTGCTTCTGTACCCTGCTCTTGCTCTGTGTGTCTCGAACATTCTTGTTCTGTTGATCTTCAACGTTCTGGTTCGGCGCCCTATTCTTCCCCCTGGACGGGCGTCGGCGACGTTGACGCGACTGATTGGGGACAGCAGGGCTGCTGACCTTGAGATCTGTTTCCTCGAGAGCAAGGGAGATGTCGTTGTCCTCTACTTGTTCGACCTCTGCGCTGTTCCACGCATAGTAGAGCTGGGGTCCAGCAGAGGGAACAGCCTGCTGAGGATCTTGAGACGTTCCACGGGTCATGCCGGTTTGCGCCTGATTGAGATACATTCTCTGACCTTGATCGAACGTGTGCTGAGGTCCTTGGTATGACTCTGCATGCGCCATTTGCGGTAGATGGAGGATGTAGGGAGCAGGGTATGCTTGGTTGGCTGCGAAGGGAGCTGATGGGAAAACTGTATTGTGATGATGGTTGCCAGCTGTATTCTGTTGCACGTTAGCAAACAGTTGTGAAAATACAAACACAACACACCTGACAAGTAGCAGCGTAGAAGTATGGTCTGCTGGAGGGGACGGGGGGTCCCATCGGGTTCAAGGGCTGGAGAGAGCGAAGGCTGAGGTCGTGGATGAAGCGAAGGCCATGGTTGATGAAAATTTCAAGTGAATGAGCGGCTTCAACGGTGGCGGCAATGTTTGACTGCCTCCATCTTGTGAGGACAACCTCTAAGAAATATCGAACGTTGCTGATCAAAGGCTGGAGAGGAGCCTTGAAATCCAATGGCAGGTTGCAGAACTGATTGATCTGTTCCAGTTGCTGCAACAACGCAATCCCTTGGTTGTGTTTGTAGGTGACGTACTGATAGTCCTGTTGGAGTCCCAGTGCGCTGCCTGGTGTCGTCTGCCTGTTTCAAGTGCGTCAGTCAATTCAAGACATGTTAAGGAAGATTTACATGTTTTCATCTGCTGGATCAAACGCGTTCTTATGCGCAAGAATCTCTTGTGGTGTAATGGTGTTGATGGGTCTAGCACGAAGCTTTCTCAGAAGGAAGGCTCCTAACGTGGCATAACTCTTCGCAAAGACCTCCTCGTCCTCTTCTTCTATCGTCTTCTCGGCCTCCATCGTCACTTGCTCCTGCTCCCCTTGCTGCTCCGCCAGCTTCCGCCCTCGTCTCATACAGGCACAATTACTGTAGTTGATATACCACTGAGAGAATTCTATCATCTCTGCTAGACATGCTTGAGCAGTCTGCACGTCGCCGGCTTGAAGAGCTTGTTTCAAAGTTTTCCTTTGCGGCATATCAGCCTGATAATCCACCAGTGCAAGTAGAATGTTGATAACTTCTACCATCTGCTTTTCTTCTCCGCCATAAGGATTGTTGTGAAAGAACAAGAGAAGGCCTGCTGTACACTCAAACATCGCTCTGGCATAAGTTTGAATGGATGCTGTGCTGCTGTGCTGATCCATTCTCCTCAACATTCTCTTTGCGAACTTCAAAGACTCATTCACAAACTCGGTTGCCTTGTCTTCGGGAACGCTCTCATTGCTTCTCAGCAGTCTGATTGCCGAAACAGACTTTTGAAAGGAGGACGCAATGGGCGTGTACAGGGGTTCTACCTTGTTGTTCTGTCTGTTGCCATGTCTCTGACGCAAGTTCTCCACGTGCGAAAGCACAAGATTTGACACAAGCATCATCTCACAAGAAATCCTCCAACTCTGCGGCGGAAGTTTTTCATCTTCTGCTGTAGAGGTCAAAGTCTTGATCCCACTCAGAGCGGTGGGGAAGATGCAAAAGCGTTTGACGGGAGTTGGGATGAGCATGTCGAAGAACGGGTAGCTGCGATGGAAGTTCTCCGATCTGATGGCGTTGCAACCGCGACAGAGCCAGTCGATGGCCTCCATTGCTAGAACATGTTGAGACAACTCCTGAGGTTTGTACTCTTTGGTTTGTCTCGCCAGGTTGCTGACGGAGATGCGGAGGTGTCTCTCGATTGACAGCTTTACCTCCTGCAGGTGCCTCTCCTCTATGTAGTTAGGCAGGAACGAGGAGATAGAGGGGACCCTCGTGATCACTCGGTCGAAGTGGAACCAACCAGCGAGCGAGTCCTCGAACTCCTTCACTGCCGTCTCGAAAGTTTGAAGGAAGGAAGCGCCGTGCTCGGAAGAAGACAGGTTGCGAGCAAGGCCAGCAAACCAGACGTGGATGGTAGCGAACTTGAGCTTCGTGCTGGGGTCCTTGGACTTGACGACTTTCAGGAATTCGAGGAGGCTGAGGAGGAATCTACACAGTTTGTCGTTGACAAACTTCTTCATGTGTACTGAGAGGTTGAGAGGGTTCAATATGGACCAGTAGATGTCGTCGGAGAACAAGACGATCTCACTGTCGTCTGATATGTCAAAGAGCGTCTTGATGACTTCTTGCTGCACCTTGGACACGTACATTGAACTGTCTTTCCTCAGGATGCCAAAGAACCTCTCGAGATCCAAAAGCTCGTTGCTCGGCTTCATGTCTGGTTTGAGTGACGAACTGCAGTGTACAATCAGCTGCTGGAGGTCGACGAAGATGTTGTAGGCGGAGAAGATGATGGAGGAGATGTCTTCGTTCTTCATCTTGGAAGAAGGATCCAACTTGGCAAGGACTTGCAACTTGCTTGAGAGAACGACTGATCTGGGTATGCTCGAGACACAAGAAGAGTTTGCAGGGATCTCGAGTTTGGTGAGATTATCCAGCATGAAGAGCTCCATCTTCAAGAACAACGACCTCCATTCCACCAAGCTCATCAACTCCTCCTGCTCTAAGTCTTCTGTCGGCGAAGACATGATCTTGCTGGCAGTCTTCAACGACGAGCAGATGAAATCCTTGGCAGCGCTCTGGTCATTCGACTTGTACGCCGACAGCAGGTAGAGCTCTACCTTGAGGAGGAGCAGGTCTGACTTTGGTCTTCTTGCTTCAGATAGAATTTTCAAGGCCTTGGGCAGCTCCTCAAAGTTCTTCTCCTTGGCTACGATCATGGCGCTCTCCTTGTACTTGCCATGGGCACGTAGACGATCAGCAAGCTGCGACAAGTAGCCGTGCTGCAGCAGAAGCTCTTCCTCCATGTGCGGGGGAAGCTTCTGCGCAGTCTCGTAGAAGCTCTTGAGCGCTGCCTGCCTCTGCTCCTCCGACACCCCGAAGTTCTTGGACGTTGACACCAGTGCGTCCGCCTTGCGCCGCAAGAAGCTTTCCTTGGAGAGGGAGGGAGGGAGGGAGGCATCCGGATGAGCCTCGTGGATGCGCAAGGCCTTGTCGTACTGCTTCTCTTGCAGGAGCTGCTTCAGGGCGACAGCGACGAACCCATGTTTGACCATAAGATTGATACACTTGTCCTGCTTGCCCACCTTCTTCAGGCATGACAAAGAGCACTTGAGGAAGTAGATCCGCTTGCTCTTGAACAGCTCGATGCAAGCTGAGAAAGTCTCCTCTGCCAGCTCATACTCCTCTGCCTCGAAGAAGCACTTGGCCGCTCTTGGAGTCCACCTCCTCCCGCACTCCAGCAGGAGCTCACCAGCCTGCACGAACGCCATCTTTCTCAGCTGGGCAGAGCTCTTGGGCGCCACGAACTGGATCAGGTGTTCAGCTCGCATCTCCATCTCCGAGACCCGGTCTCCTGACTTAGCGAAGCACTGGGAGGCCAGCTGGAAGAGGCCGACTCGCTTCAGGTTCATCCCCTGCTGCTCCCACTCCTCCTTGGTCGTCTTCTTGGCGAACGAGGGGCAGTGTAGCACGTTGCCCATGAGGTCAACCACCTCGCAGAGGTCCTTCCTCTCCAAGAAATGATACATGGGCGCACGCTGTACCTCGTCCTCGTCGTAGAGGATCACCCGAACCCTTGCGCGGGTGATGGCGGTATAGAGCTGTTTTAGCTCCTCGCAGAGGATCAGGTGAAGGGTCTCGTCGAACTCCAGGGGGCGCAGCCTCCCCATGACGTCTTTCTTGGCTTGCTGGCGCTTCTCCTGCAGCCTCTGCTCCTCCTCCTCGTCGTCGTGGATCAGGCAAGTCAAGATCACCCGCCACTCCTGGCTCGCCCGGCTGTCGGTGAAGAAGTTCCACTGGTCAAAGTCAGTCGCAGGGCTTCACTAGCACAGCAAGACGTACCAGGATGACGTCATCAAACTCCAGCCCCTTGGACTCGAGGATGGTCATGGCGAGGCATCCGTCGAAGAAGTGAGGAAGACGATCTTTCGCGTCCTGCGACCTCACGAGGATCACTTGGTGAGCTCCGAACTCGATCTGCGACTGTTTGCGATCAGCGCCGAGGATGAGGATCGCAATGTCGTCGATGTCCGTCTCCTTGAGTAGCATCGGTCTGGGCCCCAGAAAGAAACCCCTCTCCTTAGGAAGCACGTCTATGAAGGCCGGGAACAACGTTTCCAACAGGCTTACGACGGAGGAGGCGGTTCCAAGGATCCCATTATGAGTCCGGTAGTTTACTGTCAGCGTGCAGACGTCGGGGATGACGCAGGGTTGTCTCCCCTCCACCTCCTCCTGCTTGAACAAGGACTTGAGGTCTTCGAACCGGAACCCGATCCCCGTGGCGATGGTCTGGCAGGTGTCTCCGCTGAAGAACATGTCGTTCTTATCCTCACAGACCTTGAAGAATAGGGCCAACTCGGCCTGGGTAAAGTCTTGCGCCTCGTCAACGTAGATGCTATGTACCCTCTGCCTCTCTGGCGCGCCCACGTCATAGTTGTGGTAGATATGATGAGTCACGTCTGCGATATCGTACATGTTCAGCCTCTTCTTCTCCTTCTCGTACAGCTGGAAGAGGTCGTAAATCACGTCCCTGCTTCCCTTGCGGTCCCCCGGAAGGTCCTCCATGGCTTCCGAAGCCTTGAGTCCCTTGAAGTTTGGAGCCATCTTCTCGGGCATATGTAGGTACTCCTCCCTTGATAGGAACCCCTGGGAGCTTCTCAGAGCCTTGACAGAGCCCTTGATGTACGAGTGAATCTCCTGGAAGACGCTGGATGGCGACAGCCATCGGCACTTGCCGCTCTTGGTGAGGGATGGCCAGATCCTTGACTCGAACACTTTGAAGTCCACCTCCTCCCTCAGCTGGACCTTTGCTCGGGACTTTGCCCTGCTGTCCTCCCCAAGCTCGATGAAGTCTTCCATGGGCTCGTCGTCAAAGCAGAGCTCGTCGTCGTCGAGAGGGATCGAGTCCAGCATGCCTACCTCCTCGTGGAAGCTGCTGGCTCCCGCGTTGACCAGGCTGCCATCCTCGTTCCTCGGCCAGAAAGGTCGCGCTAGCGTTGCATCCAGCATCTGGAGCCACTCGGACTCAGTGAGGAACAAGGGGAAGGCCTCGGAGCTGACACTCCAAAGGGACGGAGGATAGTCGGACTTTGGGTCCACGTGTTGAACTCCTGCCTGCATGTTCTTGAAGGACTTGCGGACTTGATCTCTCAAGACACGGTTGGCTGTGACGAACACTTGGTTGTAGTCTTGCAACTTGGACTCGTTAACACTCAGGCATGAGTACATCTTCCACATCCTGTTGATGGCGATGGAAGTCTTGCCTGTCCCAGATCGTCCTACAAGGATGGTAGAGCATGTGCTGTTCGCAATCCTGCGATTGATGATTTCATCTTCACGGTCATCGGGAAGGAAAGGAAACTCTGGAAACACGTGCTCGCCCCCCTTCACGCTCCTCTTGTTCTTCTCAAAGTCGTTCAAGCTCTTCAGGAACTCATCGCTCAGCGCATAAAACTTGAGCACATTCAGACTTTCAGCTGTGCTGACAGCTGGGGGAGTGAAGATAAGTTCCTCGTGCAAGTCATACATCTCCTCTTCCGAGTCAACGAACGACGAGAACTTCTTGTCTTCCTGCAACCTCAGGCCATCCAAGTCACTGTCCTCGGAGAGCCTGTAGACTCGGGGGATGCGGGTGCCGTCTTTCTGCAAGGTGCTGTCTACGAAGATAGGAAGTAGCTTCTTCTCCACAGAGCTTTGTCTGCCGCTCTTGTGGGCATCGACAATGAAGCGCATACCGCGAGGAACGTCGTCGTGATCCAGACAAATCTTCCACAGGCGGATGGTGTCGGTGAAGGCTCCGATACGAGGGGAGTAGTCCACCGCATACTGCCACAAGAATCTCCTCCCGTCGTCAAAAGAAACGCAGGGGCTTTCAAAGATCTTGAGATGCTTGGGAGTTCCCTTCAAGCACTTCATCAGCGACCTGCCTTGCTCGCCGTTCGCCAGCCTCTTGATCTTGTGGATGGTCGATCGAAGTACCACCGGCTCGCGATGTAGACCAAACAGCTGGTCCTTGAACTCTCGCGTGACTCTCAGGTCCCACATACAGCTCGCCAGGTCTCGGATGGCAGACCGGTCATCACTGGCTGCCACTGGTGCCGTGACGTCTTCCTCGGCAGGGTCCCCACCTTCGGATCTCAGCTCGGCCTCATGGTTGCCTGGAGGAAAGTTTGAAGGGGCGCGGTCAGTCACATTCGATTCTGTTCGCTTGTCTCGGGGTCGTGACTGTTTCTCCTCCTCATCAGAATTTTCTGAACCATCTTCTTCGTCTGTGTCATGATCGTTTTCCTGCCCTTCATCACCTTCGTGTTGCAATCTGAGCATGAGAGCGGCAAGCAAGTCCTTCACTCTTTGTCGGTGTTGTACCATAGTCTCTGGTGTCTTCTCAGGAGATTCATCCGCTGTATTGCTCGCTGGGATCTGAGATGGTTTAGCCGCCTCCACTACTGGATCAGCTTCGGCATCTGGAACATTGATCTTCTGCTCCCTCCGCCCGTCTTGTTGAGTCTCGCTCTTGCTTTTTGATTTCACCTTCTTGCTTCGCGACTTGCGAGACGCAGACTGCTCCTCTTGGAACTTTTGAAGCATGGCCTTGAACGCTCCCTTGCTGACCTGCAGAACGGTCTTGTTCTTCTTGTTTTTGGTCGTGACGTCAGCCCCGTTACTCAACAGTGTCTGCGTGACTTGTGAAGTTTTCTGGTCCCAGGTCATCTCGGCAAGCAGGTGCAGACACGTCCCTCTCTCTGAAGTCACGTTGACATCTGCTTTGGCATCTACCAGGCACGAAATCATTTTCAAATCTCTGCACTTTACAGCATGATGCAGCGCAGCAGTCCCGAACTCTCCCGTGCTTGCATCCGGATCAGCTCTTCTTGCCAAGAGAGATTTCACAAGCTCGTGCTGGCCGGCTGTGACAGCACAACACAAGGGGACGTCGGCGAATTCTTGAGACTCGGAAGAATTTCGAACAATCATCCTCATGACCTCCCACATCCCTTCTTTCTGCGCGGCTTTCATTGCCTGTTGGAATATTTGATCGTCCTTGCACAAGCGAAATAGAGACGGTAAGATTCTCATGAGGTGAGACTCATTGAGATTGGGCCGGAGAAAGAGCAATCGTACATCTATCCTTGGCATCTCAGATAGTGATTGAGACAACTCCGACAACTCTCTTCCACTTGCTGTTTCACGTTTGTACGCACTTTCGAATGCTTGGTTTGCATTCGATGGGATCAGCAGGCTCGTTATGGTCTCAGGAAGGTTGGCTTCTACAGCAAGGTTAAAAGCGTACAAGTCGAGGTCAGATGTTATGTCCTTATCCATCCCGCAGCTCAACAGAATTTGAATGGTTTCTGCTTGCTCTCTTTGATATTCCTTGGGCGTCTGCTGCTTTTGAGTTGCTTTGTTCTTGTAGCTATGGAAGCAGAATTTGACCAAGAGCATATCTTCGTGCTGACAAGAGGGTATCTCAAAGGCGGTATTTGTGCTTGAAAAGTCGAATTGCTGCTTAATCCCTTGAAAAACGAGAAGGACACTGATTTCTTCTGAACGATGCAACTTGTCGACGAGCTTGAGATTCCCGGACGTTGCATTCTTGTCAAATCGAAGTTCCAGTTCCCAAGTGAGTCCAATTAATAGATGCATTCAGAGACGCTCTTGGTCTCGTGCCGTGATGCTTGGATTACGAAAGATCTCTCCACGCTCAGTGAGCACAGGGAATGTAAAGGAGTGTAAAAATGGCTAAATTCGGGGCTTGCAATCACCTTTTTCCAGTGACTGGATAGCTTTGATTTGAGGAGCAGCTGCAAGAGTTCGGGTCGAAGTGCTCGTACGATGATAAGAATGATTTCTCTACCGAGGTCTTCATCTTGCTCCAGGAAGTTTTTGATCAAAGGGTGGCTGAACACAAATGAGTCTAGCTCCTGATCATGGCAACGAAAAATTCTGTTCCTTCCCACGAAAATGCAAAAAAAATTTAGCAGTGAGTGTCGCCAAGACTTTGAAGACAGTCTTTGCTTATCAGATTTCAACGCCAGCTCGATCGAATGCAGAAAGAATTTTGCGATCGCAATCTTTTCTTTGATGGAGAGGTCGCATGCAAGGATGTCAAACCATGTCTGTTTCGAAAAGTACTTTAACCAATCATACTTATTGTCAGATTTCATTCGAGAGCATTTTTTCAGGATTTCAAAGAGAACCTTGACAAGATTCATCTTTTGATTGCAAGCACAAAATGACATCAAGACGTTTGTGATGAGCAAAAAGGATCTCAAATCCAGTTGTTTAGCAACCGGTGCCATCAAACCGTTCAGCCTCAACGACAACTTGGATATTTCCTCATCGTCGCAGGGCATCAGTTGGCTTTCGACGATTTTCATCAACTCAGGCAGAATCTTTGCCATACTGTTAGGGAGTCCGTCATTATCAAGTACTTCCTTGCTGCAGCAGAATGATGACGGATCTGTGCATTCCTCAATTCGGAATCTTGCTGAGAATTCCTGCTTGAATCCTTGCATTCCTGTGTACTTGGTGGTTGTACAGGAAATAGGGAAGGAGTATAATTCTGAGAGGGAGCAGGGAGCAGGGAGCAGGGAGCAGGGAGCAGGGAGCAGGGAGCAGTGGAGCAAGGTTGGTGTGCTGAGAACTAACGCTGCGGGTAGGGTAGGGTGGTATCAAAATAGACATCACACGGGTGGATTTGACAGAGCAAACAGGGGGTTCAGGGTATCTGGGGGTGCGGCAACAGGACGGGGAGGGGGTTCTAGCCTCGGATTCGTATCCCAACAAAAAAAGTTGAGCTTGTTGAGTGTTGAGTAATAAATTTGTAAGGGGGCCCGGGCCCGGGGCCCGGAGGGGCAGGCCACCGTGACTGCCGTCTCAGATGTCTTGCTCTGAGTCAATCTTACTCAAAGTTAAGTTAAAATCAGTACGAGGACAATATGAAGCAGGAGAGTAGAGGAGGCCTCACCCTGACACTGAAAGTTAAAACTCCAAGAAGTCGAAACAAAAACTACTTTTAGAAATGTAACCGATAGTGGCATGCCATAACGGTACTTTCCGGATACAAATACCGCCGGGACCATCGACAACCCCTGTGTAAGAGGTTGAAGGACCGGTGGACTTGAAGCCACGTTTCAGGATTTGAAAAAGACTCCTTTAGAGCGACTGGAACCAAATCACGTTACCTGAATCGTGATTCATTACCTAAAAGGTCCTTGTTACACCTTGGAGATCAGCAAAGCTGAGACCACCACCCCATTTTCCACCAAACCAAACAATATGACCGGTCATTTTGACAGGCTTGTTGGGCGGAATGGTGGGGTCTGTGTCAATGTTTTAAAACCATAGCACCCCTTCAGTTTAAAGTCACGATTGTGTCATGGTCCTTCCGACTACCCATGGTTATAGTCTGAAAGGACCCGTCCATTCAGAGGCTTGAAAGTGCGACCTCCTTCTTCAGGACAACCCCTGTAAATTAAATCACCAGTACTTCCTACCCCACATTTTGATGCCATCGAAAGACATAGTGCCCATCTTTGAATATTTTCTAAATTGACCAATATATAATATGACATATCTATCCACCTATCAGTTCTCAAAGCAAAGCTCCAATAGCACTACCCCCTCATCTGACTACCCACCTGGATTTACACAATCTGCCCCTTTCTGCAAAAGCTCTCCGCCTCCCTGCTCTCCCCGCCCCCTGCGACCTCTCCGGCGTCCTACGTTCCTTTCGTCCCCCTCCTCGCGCGTAAACAAAACCCGCTGACAACTTTCTGGTGCTGCTGCATATCCTCCTCCGTGTGCTCCTTGCCATCTTCTCCTTGTTCTCTTCTCCTCATGTTCTCCTCACCCTCCCTGTCAGCCTCAAACCTTGAAGCCTAAAACATACCCTCATTCCCGCCCCCGTAAACTTTGTTGCTGCCATATCTGTTCTCATGGTATTCCTTATTGACTTCTAGTCTCCGGTCATATCCCTATCTACTTTACGCACTTCTCTTTCTGTGCGTCTCCCTTTTGTGAGCCACCTCTGGTCCTGGTTGCCTTTGGTGACCGATTGACCCCGGGAAGGGCCAAAGCGTGATCCTCAGGCTCGTTGATTCTTCATTTTCCTGATGCCCAGCATGGAGATGATGCTGGTTCGGAGGCTACAGAAGTCGGCAAACAGGGACGAGACAAAAGAGCTCATCGAGACTCTTGATTCCATTGTGCCTCTGTTCACTAAAACCAGGAGGCACCGCTCCTGCCTCAAATCGGGGCGAAGCCTCACTCAGCTTTTGCTCGACATACAGCAAAGAGTCGGTGATCTGCTGAAAGTGCCAGAGAGTCCCAAGGACAACTCCATGCCAGACCAGACGATCAGGTTGGGGATGTTAGATACGAGACAACCAATCTTGATACTGGACAGAACAACACTCAATGTGCTTTCCCTCAGCTGCGGGGCGAGAGAATGTTTCAAAGGGCTTCCGTTTGACGGTCCCACAGGTCAAAACATTCTGCATTTCATCTCGAGCGAGGATCGGAACAAAATTCTCGCGCGTCTGAGAAATACATCAAGGTCGGGCGAGTCGTTAACTGAACGGTTAAATTTCAGAATCACCAGCTTCAGGACCATGATGCGAGGGGAAATCATGTGTGAGTTGGTAAGCACTCACCAGACATCAGAGGGGCACATCTTCTTCTTCTTCACAACTTCTGCCGACCAGACTTGCAAGAGAAGAAGCCTACATGCGTTGCTGGAATCGTTTTCAGGCACGTTCGGGTTTGACAACATCTCCTCGACCGAGCTACCGTGGGATCGCAGGCATTCCAAAACCCAGAGCGAGATCTCTTACATGTTTTCTGGCTGGAAGCGACTCTTTGATGACGAACAGATGGACCAGGTAATCTCAGAAGCCTGTCAAGGCTGCGGAATCCAAAAGAACATGCTCAAGGCCAGGGAGCTTCAAGTGCGCTGCAACTTCGTTAATGCCAACAAGAACGGAACCCCTCGGTGTGACCTTTCTTATCGATGGAAACTTTCTGCCCTGCTGGGAACCTACGACAGCGGTTGGAAGGAAGATCAAGAAGTCGATCTCAATGGCAAGCCCAAGTCAGTTGGAAATGGGAAATTCATCTCGTTCTGTGTTAACGACGATTCTGACGAGGATCGGCTTCATATCACAGAGTATCAACTGCAAATGGTGAGCTCGATTCTCTCGGATCTTGAAGTCTGACTTCTTCACTCAGAAGGACGAGAATTTGGTCATCGAACAAAGCAGCTCCATCTATGTCACCAACGAAGCCCTGTGCGTCTTGAACATGCAGCGCAACGACGTGATGAGGTGATGCTTGCTGACGAGACAAGAAGTGCTTCCAACTGACTTGATTTCAGGAACAGAGACGACGATGAGACCCGCTTGCTGGCCTTCCGGATGAGCTTCTCGCAGTCAAGGACGCCAGGCTCGCAGATCACGGGGTTGGGGGAGCAAGCGATGGAGCGACAGAGCTCGAGTGAGTCTCGCAATGCCGTCGAATGGGAATGACAGTCGTCGGCATGTCTGTGTACTTGATTTGTAAATAGAAAGGGAATGCGTGAATAGATGATCTAATCGTGAACAATGAATTTGAAAGAGAGTGGGTAGGTAAATTGAGAGTAAACTGTCGATTGCGTACACATCCAGTGTGTGGATGTCAAAGATTTCTGGGCAGGGAAATAAAGACTGTTAGGCACATCACTGGTACTAGTGAGGCTGGTGGAAAGGCAGGCGACTCGTTTATTGGATGGAAACGTGCGTAGAGAAGATTGAGAGACAGATACATGTAAAGCATGACTGGAAGCTCTCCGCAAGCAGTCGTAACATGAGCAAGAGACTAAGTTGACGATGAATCTTGGTACCAAGTGAAACTTTGGAATCAGACTTTGTGCAAGACATTCAAGCATCCTGAATAAAGAGAAGAATGCAGAATTTGGGCAAGAATTTGCAGAAAGTATTCAGAGGCTTCAACTTTGCATGAAGCCCGTCTTGTCTTGTCTTGTCTTGTCTTGTCTTGTCGTTTGTCGTCTTTGCTTGGTTTTTCCTTGTCTCGTCCCGTCTGGTCTTTGTCGTGAGCTCCTCAGAGTTTGCTTGACATTTCACACACAAAGTGATCGACGAGGGTCTCCTATACAGCCTGAGCAACAAACCTAGTTTCCCTCCACTCTCTGTAGAAATCACATCAGCAATCGTTATGCGAAGTCTCGCACCATACCTGTTTGCTTCCAAGTAGGTCTGTCCATGCACAATCACGTGCATTTGCTTCATCTGCGTATGATACGAAGCGAAGCAGACAAGCTTCTGATGTTCCTGCAGAGCTGTGAGGAGAAAACGAGCTTCAGATGCTTTCTTACCTCTTTCAGGTGAAACTCGGTGAAGATGAGCTTATTAGCATCTGATTCTGCATGGGTAACGACAGATATGTACCTTCCTCCCCCCAGGTACTTGGGGATACCGTTGAGCTCAATCTCGCAGTCCTCACGCCATCCCGCCGTCATCGAGCCCTTCAACGACGGAAGGTTCATCCTGAACTTGACGAGACACCGGTGACCGTCTCCCGTTAGCGACTTGGACAGGCTGCAGGACAGCTGCAGCCGGTTCGCCATGTTCATCTTAGCATCCACAGAATCTGACTTGTAGTGCTCTTTAAGCTCTGCAATGTTCCGAGGATCCTCCCAGATTGCTCTCCATCCCGAGAAGATGAATGGCAGCGAGGAGGAACTTGCAAAGCACGGCCTCTGATCCCATGGTAGGTGTGTCGAGGAGAAGAAATCGAAGCTGTAGACACCTGAGAAGTCCTCGAAGCCACCCGGTCTGTTGGAAGTCGTACTGGTCTGTTGTTCCTCGCATGACTGGAAGAATAGGAAGGAATGCTGTCCTTGGACGTTGCACACCTCCTCTAGGGCACATTGACAGTACCTCAGGGAGGATTTATGGAAATGATACATGGTGATAATGCGCTCCTTTGCAGGCGGCTCTTTGCACGTGCTCCCATCGCTGCGCTCGCTCTTCGCTTCTGTGCTCTTGCTCTTGTGCAACAGTTGATGGACGGCATTTCGGTGGGAGTGAGGGGAGAAATGAAGGAGGTTCTGACCCATGGGGCCGGCGAACGGCATGCTCCGAAACCATTCCCTCGCACCAGAGCTGAGAGACAGGATTTTCAAGCTGTTGAAATCGATGACGATGATAGGCTTCTGAGCTTCAAGGATCCCCCTCTTGATGAGCAAGTCAGAGATCTGAACATCGTCCACACTCTGCGGAATGCTCAAAAGCTTCTCTATCCTACACCGCAGGTCCGAGAGCAGCTGCGTCAGGCTCCTCCCAGACTTCAAAGACGATCGATGCCTCCTTGCTTTCGTTATTCTCGGAACCAAGGAGTCGAGCACCTCGATCAGCTCTTTGGTCTCGTCTCTGTTCGCCGACTTCTGAAGCCTGCGCACAAGCAACATCTCGGCGCTTGACATGTTGGACATCTGGTTAACTGAGAGCTCACCGGATCTCCTTAGAGAACCAAAGGCTCTCTGTGTCAGACTCGTAGATCTAGCCTTACATTCCAATACATGGAACGCTGTGTTGGCACTTACACGGAAATCTGCTCCGCTTTCACGTTCTTGATGACGCATACCTGATGTGACATAAATCCATCGCCTGGGTGCAGCCAGTCACTCGACAAGAAGTGTGTTGACTTTTTTCTCCGATCCTGCCATGAGACATTCAGAAAGTGAGGTATGCCGTCAACCGGTTCTATTCAAGTTTCAAGTCTCAAGATTTTCATCTCGTGTTGTCTGAAGCAGTGATATTCAATGATCTCTCTCAGTATTGCTAAAGATTCTCTTGTTTTTCATGTGCGATGTGGGATCTTGTTCACCGTCGACTCCTTTTATGAAAGAAGTGCTCTATGTTTCAACTCCTGGCTATCATGACAGTCGACGTGTTTGCCGCTGCTGCTTCCTCTAACGTTTTCCTCTGCTCAATCTGTCAATCCAGATTCCTGTCTCGATTATTCAAAGTCATGATGTAAGCATTTACATCATCATTGACCCATGAAACCATCCACCTACTGCTATCTCGCTCATGCTAAAGGCCACGCATCCCAGTCTGGCTGTAGATTTAGAGTTGCGCCTGCGGCAACTCTAAATCTTAAAGTCTTCAATCTTCTGCTCCACCTGCCTTCTGCCTTCCTACCTTCTGACTTGCTACCTTGCTGGAGATCTACATCCATACTGCTTTCCGCTGCTGCCGCCGCCGCCATTCCCTTCCACCTCACCGCCATCTCCCCCGACACACTACCCCTTCCCTCCGGCACTCCTCTCAGCCATGACCACTAAATCAGTACCCGTCAGTACCCTACCCCTTGAAATACGAACTCCTTCACGACTTTTCCAGGGTGGGTTGTCCAAAAAAACAAAAAAAAGATAAAGGCCACTAGCGCCGCCCACCCCACCCTTCCTCCCAACGGAACTACCCCACCCCATCGAAACATATCGTCTCACCCTGGTTATAAAAGCAGAGTACCCACCCCTACCCCCCTATCTCCTGATTTCCTACGTAATCTACACCTGCCGTGTGGGAATTTTTTAAAAAAGACCACTCTGCGCCACACCCACCCCGTGCACTTCACGGAATACTACCACCCTCCTCAAATCACGGACATGCACCTATCCACCCCACCCCCACTGTAGAAATTAACTCATGACAACTTTGTGACTAATAAAATCATATAGAGGATTGGATCACTCCGATGTACCACCCCACCCCAGAAAGGATCCCACCCCACCCTGTCACGACCTCGACATCCTCAGGAGCAACAATGATCCTGTTACTGGTAACTGCGTCTATAAGTGGATGCATGGAGACTGTCGCCTTCTCGTTCCTCAAAAAGTCTCAACTTGTAGTAAATTTGGTAGTTTCGCCGGAGCCAGGGAGCATGCGGGGAGAACGGGAGGAAAAAAGATTATGGTCACGTCCTTGAATTGAAGGGTAGAGGGTGGGGTCATGGGGTCTTATTTTGTTTTTTCCTCTCTCAAGATTTTTGCAGGGGGTGATGTGGAAGGTGGGTAGGGTCCTGAAAAGGTAGGGTCAGGATTATTCAGAGACTAGGGGTACTTTAAGTGGATATAGGAGGGGTGATATTTATCATTCTTGCAATGGAGGGGTAGGATGGGTTCGTTTTGTTGGTTGGCAACTCGGTCCCCTGGTGGGTGTAAAGCTTTTAGCAAATATTACGCTTGTGGTCAGTTTTCGTTTTAAGTGTTGAAAGCAAGTAGCTGATAGATGATTCAAACAGCAAGAAGAAGTCAAGCAATCATAAGAAGTGCAGTAAAGAAAGAATTCTTCAAGTTGAGATAATGGACAAGCAGGAGGGGGGAAGAGAAAGTGGGTGAAGACAGGGGCCGAAGAACAAAGAGGCCTGATTTACACATGGACCAGACGAGACGAGACAAGGGTAGTCACATTAGAAGACTGAGGATGGGATTGAAGTCAAGTTGAGAATGGGGTAGCCACTCAGAAAAGTGGCCGTTTCCATGTGCATGGTCCCGTAAACTGCAGGATGCTATTCTTAAAACCTTCGAAAATGAGATGCGATTACTCGAACACAACAAACAGGGCAGGCTACTACTGCTTGTAAGGACATGAAGTTGTTTCCACAGGAGAGAAAATACGTAACATGAGATGAGATGAGACGAGACGAGACGAGACGAGACGAGACGAGACGAGACGAGACGAGACGAGACGAGACGAGACGAGACGAGATGAGACGAGATGAGATGAGATGAGATAAAATCGCATGACATGACATGAGGCTGTCATACTTGTGATGTACTCGTGCTACCGTGTACCCGTGGTGGCCTACAAGCTGAAGAGGACGGGTGAGTCTTGTTGAGTACAACCCGTTGGTGGAAGCAGCCTGGTTGCATGCAAGGACGGGGTTCTCTACCCTGCGAGTGAGTGAGCAAGGTTGCCTCTCGAACGGCTGACGGGATGTTCAACATATAAGAGGGAAAGCTTGTAAACTTCCAAGGAGAGAACACCCCTACTTCCCTCAGTCAAGAGACGGGTACTCCTGTCTCCTTCCTCGAAGATATACAAGGATCATCCTCGTCAAAACTTGGTGGTCATCTTCCCCTTTCGTGTGTGAGCCACGTCTGTTTGAGCCACACCTGTGTGTGTTGGCTTTGCTTTGTTTGCTGTGTGAGAATAAAGAGAGATAGATATCCTTCTGTTACACTGTTCTCCTCTTAGTAGAGAAATTCCAGCACAAGTTCTTGTTGAGCTGAAGGTCAATCCTGTAAGGCTGTGACAGTGGGGTGATGCTGGAAGAGAGACGGCACGGCAACGAGTTGGTGAACGACACGGCGGAATGACGTGAGAGGCAACATGATGAAGTTTCGACTCCGTACTTTCCTCTCTTCTCATGAGAAGCATCTTGAAGAGAGGTTACAAGGTGCCAAGGCAGGGAGAAGCAGGAAAGAATCAATGAGAGCGAGGGGTGGCGGGCAGGGCCCGGGATGACCAGTTGCGAGCTGTGGAGTGTGGCAGTCGGGGCTGGGATAGCAGAGAAATTCAGAGGTGGCAAGGGAGGTTATGGGAGCAAAGTGAGAACACAAACTCATACCAGTGAGAATGTTTGCATTGGGGCAATAGGGCTGAAAAGCAGAAAGAAGGGAAGTAGGGATATAAAGTAATGCTGTGTGAATGCACTATTGCGTGCTGGTAGGCAAAATATGATCTGAAGTAAAAGACTTAAAGGGGCTGGAATAACGTACGAGCATAATGATTTCATGGCATCACAACATACAGAAAAGTCTGTGCGACTGTTTGCCAGGACGTAGCGCTTGAATGTTAGTGACATCTTTGTTTTGTCACTAAGATACCAGCCCAGAGCCAACGACTAGCATGCCAAGCTTGTAGTGAGTGTCTAGATTTGCTTTGGGATTATCGTATTCCAGTATGTTGCATCATTATCATGAAGGATGTGTTGACTTGATCAGAAGTTGTTGTGAAGCAGCCTTGTCTTAAGAATGGGGCATTTCTGGTCTAGCCTGGAAAGCAATGGATGAAAGACGTACCAAGCAGAAATCTTAAAACCTCGCAATTGACTTGCTCCTTCTTCGTCTAAAGATAATGGCATGCTTTATGTTGCCTCCCTCTCACTTCCTTTGGTGTTGTTTGCTCTTCTATTGTCTACGTTCCAGCTACATTTCTCTTGCTCGTTCGTCTTATCTTGACCATGATCCTCGTCTTTCCCTTCCTTCCTCCTCCTCCTGCGCTCCCTCCTTTCATCCTCTGTAGCAACACCCGCCTTCCCTGATCGAATCCGGATGCAAAGTTCTTTACCATGCTTGGAGCTTGGAGAGGGGTGGGGGTACTTTACGGACGGGTCATCACAGGATTCTTTGGAGGTAAAGGGGTGGGTAGTAAAATGGAGCAAGCGTGTGCATAGATCGTGACTTCTGGAATATTTGGAAGGTGTGGGAATGCAAACGAGAGGAGGATCGAGAGGAGGGGAGAAGTGGATGGAAGAGAACAGATGTATGTGCTGATTGCAACAGAGAGTAATGCAGCTCAGGTCGTCTGTGCTCAGTTAGACCGTGTAGAAAGCTATGCTGCGACTAGCAGGTCATAAGATGTGCCGGCAGCTTCTGCTTGTAGTTCTTCTCTGACGCTTGGACGCTTCCAGCGAGGCTGTGGCGACGTGAATGGTCAAAGACATAAGATAGGTTTGTCCATTCCGCTGGATTGATCGGTTCTTTGACGCAATGCCCAGGAACATTGGTTTGAACGCACCCGCTCAGGATGGGGTTTCCGACAACAAACTTGATCACGGACGAGCAAGTCATCTCGGAGTTCATTTGTCCCATCTGTGTCCAGTTGGTTGAAGAACCAGTGATCACAATCTGTACTCACGTCTTCTGCAAATCATGCTGGGAGGAATGGTTGTCGCAAGTGAACTCGAGCTCCAAGTGTCCCAAGTGCAACTCGGTCTTCATGCAGGTGCCCTCCAAGGTGACGGCTCCTCTTCGCACCGGGAACCCGCTCGCCTGGAGGATCTTGTCGCGGGTTCAAGTGAAGTGCCCGCTCGACGCTCATGGCTGTCAGTGGCGCGGAGAGTACTCGGAGATCGCATCGCACCTCACGTCCAGTGAAAGCCATCTCTCCAGGGGCTCTGCTGACTCCGTTCGTGCCAGTGCTGAGGCGTTCAAGGTGCAGGGGAATCAGAGGTTTGAAGCTCGGTCTTTCCAGGAGGCCGTCAAGCTCTACTCCAAGGCCATCACTCTCGACCCATCCGTCCCCAGCTACTACAGCAACCGCGCGGCAGCATGGCTGATGCTGGGAGCATACAACGAGTGCATCTCTGACTGCAAGGCTGCGATAGAGCTCGACCCCAAACTTGTTAGGGCCCACGTTCGGTTGAGCAAAGCCCTAGTGGAGTTGGGAGACCTAATTCAAGCCCACTCCTACCTCGCTCAAGCCTCACAGAACAATCCTGAGGAGCCTGAGCTTGCAAAGGAATTCGCTCGAGTGTCGTCGCTGAAGTTGGCGTTTGAGGATGGGAAGGCCAACTTTGAGAAAGGAGACTATTATAGGGCGCTAGAATGTTTCGAGTTTCTGGACAATTCATGCTCCGCTGTGCCGATCCAACTCTGGGTGGCGCGAGCTTCGATTCAAGCTGGGCTCTGCGATTCAGCGATATCACTCACATTGCGGATCATCAAGAAGGACGATAAGAACGCCGAAGCCTTTTATGTTCGAGGCCTTGCTCTTTTCTATGCTGGTGATATGGAGCAAGGAGTCAAGCATCTGAAGGAGAGTTTGCGTCTTGACCCTGACCAGACTGTAGTTGCTCACAGCCTCAAGTCTTTGCGTACATCCATGGATTGCATCACACGAGCAAGAGATCATGCTCTCAAACGGCAATTTCAAGAGACTGTTCGACTTGTGAGTCTTTCTTGCCCTCCTATTAGAATCTGATCAATTTTCATTCCGGCTCCATCCCTTTCGTATCCGCTCATATTCTTTGTCAGTTGAGCGAAACATTGGAGTACTGCAAATTTCCGGAAAAGGCTCCTTTGCTTGCTGCGATGTTTTCGGAACGGGCGAGTGCAAACCTGCGACTTCAGCTCTTTCCGGATGCCTTGAGAGACTGTCATTTGGCTATCCAGATTCAAGACGACCACAAAGAAGCTTGGGTCGTTCGAGCCAAGTGAGTTGACTTGAGCTTTTACGAGCTGCGATTCCTGACAGCCTGTTTCTAGTACTCTCATCGCCTTGGGCAGACCCGAAGAAGCTCGTGAAGACATGTCAAGGCTGCTGAAAATCTTTGAGCATGACACGGTGTTTCGTCACTGGTATGACAAGGCAGACTTCGAGGTGCGGAAGCGAGTGCGACCGGACTACTACACGATCCTGAAGGTTTCGACTGTGGCAACGGAGAGTGAGATTAAAGCTGCCTACAAGGTGAGAAAGAGGGAGGGTAGTGGACTGTACATAAGAATAAGGCTGCAGCAACGAGCGCTCGAGTGCCATCCAGACAAGGTGGTTGCCAGTGGTGCCTTGACGGTAGAGGAAGCTGAAGCACAGTTCAAGCTTCTCGGAGAAGCGCTGGAGGTGGAGGGGACGAGCGTCAAGGCGATTGTGTGACAGCTTGTCAGATACTCGGAGACAGCACGTGTCGCCGACTTTACGATGAGGGGTATGACAAAGTGGCGATCGATCAGAGGGTGCAGGTTTGTTGCTCCTCCCTTTCCATGAGCAGACGTTCGTAACTTCTCGTATGCTGCAGGCAGCGCAGAGGGCTGCGAGAGAAGGAGATCACAAGCATCGCTATTGATGAGATGCACCTCAAAACGTCGTGTGCACTTTGCCGACGACTGAACAATTCAAGTGTATTCTTGCTTTTACTCAAGGTAACATTGGAATGTAACGAACAATGGGAAAACTTTTCGGTCGCGCTTGATCCTTTAGCCTCATTTGCGAAGCGTCAGGTCAACCTCGACTGAGTAGATGCGCGTTCATCTCAATACACTCGCATGCTGGCTGAGCTCCTTCCGTCTTAAGAGTGTTGTGGGTCCTCCCCACCAGGTTTGCGAACTTGGGCATGTCCGGCGGCAGACCTGCATGCAGCCTTCAGTTAGTGCTGTGCGTGAGAAAAGGAGCAGGCCCACCAGCTAGGAAGCGACACGGGGATGTTCGACTTGAGCTATGGTTTGCGGAGAAATTTAGAAGTCATTCAACTGAAGGCGATCCATAATGATCAATACCGGAGTAATGTTCTCAACGTGACTATCGTGGAGGGTTGCAGCATCCCGATCATACCTCTTCCTCAGCCCTCGCATCACTTTCTGTACAATCCCAACATCTTCGTATAGATCGCTCTCGTGCTTGATCTCTTTGGTCGGGTGATCGGACAGGTCCCTCAGATTATTCATTGGTTTTGCCTTCATCTGCACTGGGACGTACTCGATATGATTGGAGGGAGATGCACTTCTTGATGGAGGCGGGGCAGGACCGAACACCTCATCACTTCTCTTCTCGTTGAACACAAAGCAAGAAAGACCCGTCGCAGACCGAACGGGCCTCAAGCCAAAGAGAATCAACAACGCACAAAGCCTTGCAAACCATAGCTCAAGGGGTCGAACATTGATCATGCTGTGCTGCCTGACGAGATTGTATGTCTGTTTGTCTTCTTTGTCGTTACCTCTGATCCTTCTCTTCTCCTCCCTTCTCTTCTCTTCTCTTCTCTTCTCTTCTCCCACTATGATTCTGCCGTCTTGGTGTTGCAAACGTACAAACAAGATCATTTTAAAAGATTATTTTAATCGGATGTAACAAATATTTTATAACTATGTATAGTACATATTTTCTCTAAAACTATTTATAGAAGAACGCTCCCCGAATCAAAGAAGATATCTAACCCGTCATCTGTACCAATGCTCAGAGTAAAAGGTAGGGGTACTTCACAACACCTACTATCTAAATCATTTTTTGAAGTTACGCCCCCCAGCTACAATATATATATATATATATGAGCAATTGACCGTACAACAATTCCAGCTAATTTTCGAAGAGAATCAATTAAGCTAATAAGGTTTCTTTTCAGTAGTTGATTTCACGGCCACGGCCTTCCGGCCTTCCGGCCCGATCAGTTGCCCGGTGCGTACAGGGATGAGCGGGGATGAGGGTAATTGTTGATTCGGGGCCGTGGCCGCATGTGCAGAATAGAATGGCATGGGGGAAGCAGGAGGGAGAGGGAGGAGGCAGGAGGGAGGAAGGGAGGAGGGAGGAGGGAGGTGGGAGGAGGCAGGATGGAGGAGGGAAGGGGATAGAAGTTGGGGGAGGGGGGGGGGGGGGGGACGACGAAAAAAAAGATAGATCATAGCAGAAGGAGGCAAGAGAGGGAGGGGCAAAGGAGAACTGAACAAGGATCATTAGAGCAGAAGAAAGAGGGTGGGTTTGAATCGGTCTACGAGCAACCAGTCCACTTCAAGGCATGCTGCAAACGCTGCGGTGTTCCACTGACATGATCATTGCAAGGAGTTGAGAAGTACCATGATCTGGTGAACCGATTCTAAATCAAGTCCGGCAATGACGATGAAATTTGCATCAACTACTTGCTTTCTGTTTCTTGCAGCTTTTCACTTCGTAGCCATAGGAGGTTTCTCTCTCCAGACCCTCGTCAGGCCCAATGCCAAGACTTACTACATCCATCCATCTACGAGGCAGCAGGTCAGGCGAACAGCCGTTCGCTCCCCAGTGATGCAGGTAAAGCTTGTTCCCCTTCATACTTCACCTGCGGTCCCTCACGTTGATCCCCTGCAGACCGGCTGGAGTCGACCTGGTCAGCTGGGTCCAACAGTAGCCCAGCTGGCTAAGCAGAAGAAGCTGCTGGGGCTCGGGGGGCTCAAGAAGCTGCCGCGCGTGTTTCCCGCGGACGAGCTGGTGAACCGGGCGGTGAACCGAGCGTTGTCGCACAAGGAGGACACGACGGTGAAGAACCAGCGGCAGAGGGCGCGGAAGTATGCGGCAGAGCAGCTGGCGATCCTGTCGAAGGAGCTCACGAAGCCGACGGGAGAGATCCTAGAGGGGTACGAGAAGATCCTCAAGAACCTGTCGCCCTTCGAGAAGGTATGCTGTACTAGAGCTGGGGTGTGTTGGAGCTGCTCAGTGTCATGTAGGTTGTGGCAGATCTGACAGTGAAGTCGCGGGAGCTTGCTGGGTACGGATCTCTCCCTGACACCTTGAAAGGGCTGCAGGAGCTGAGAAAGGACACCATGGAGGTCTGCAAGGCAGGGACCAAGGCTGCAAAGGAGGCGGTTTCTCGCAAGTTGACGCTGGAAGAGGTGGACGTAGCGATTGCGAGCATTGAGGAGCTGTGGGAGCGAGACGGCTGGGTCCTCGACCTCCTGCTCAACATGGGCCAGGAGCTGAGGAGCGTCCCCATGGTGGACCCCGAGCTTGACACCGTCGTTCTAGTCGGGTGAACCTCAAGTCTCTCCTTCCTGCGTTGTTCTAGCTCTTCCTCCTCCCCCCCCCTCTCCCTCCATCTCTCCCTCTTCCTCCTCTTCCTCCTCTTCCTCCTCCTCTTGCTCCATCTCTCCCTCCTCCTGCTCTTCCTCCTCCATTCCTTCTTATATCTCCAACTCTCCTTCCCCGCACAACTTCACACCCTCACTTACTGTTTCTTCAGCTCTCCAAATGTTGGCAAGAGCAGCATCGTTCGCAGCATCTCCACAGGAACGCCTGAAGTCAACAACTATCCCTTCACCACCAGAGGTTAACAGCTTCTCGCACCGCTCCTACAGACCCGCCCTCCTCTCTCTCTCTCAGCTCCTTTGCTTCTCTCATCCACCTGCATACCTCTCTCTTGATCTCATCTCCTCCTCCTATCGCAGCTCGTGCCCCGTTCTCTCCTTGCTACTTTCCTCTCTCTACCTCTCTCTTCATCTTCGCTGACTTGTTGCTGGCAGGCATGACCCTCGGTCACATTCTGGATGACCTTGGCGAGCAGATCTGTCAGGTAACTGCACAGAAAGGAGGAAAAGAAGAGGATGTGTGGAGGAAAGCAGAAGGAGGGAAGGGGAGGAGGGAGAGAGAGTGGGCGATAAGGGGCATTGGGGGGGAAGAGAGGAGAGCAAGTTGGGGGGAGGGGAGGAGGGGGGTTAACGAGGAGGAGGAGTCGGTAGTGGTAGTGGTGGCAAGAGGAGCAAGGAACTAACTCCGAGCAGGTCATGGACACGCCTGGTCTGCTCCCCCGCTCCGACCAGGAGAGAAACGAGATGGAGAAGCTGACGCTCGCCTCCATGGTGAAGCATGCAATCGGTCATGGAGGAAGGAGCTGATGGGACCGCAGGAGCATCTCAACAGCGTCATCATCTTCGTGCTCGACCTCACTGGAGAGAGCGGGATCAAGTCCTCCATCTCTGATCAGGTCCCTCCCTCCACGTCCCTAGCTGGTCGGATCTTGACCAGCTCTTGTCCAGCTGAGCGTGAGGGATGAGCTGAGAATTCGCTTTCCGGATCGCGAGTGGATCGATGTTGTCAGTAAGGCAGATATCCCCCTTGAGCCACAGGTAGACTCACTCCATCTCCTCCTCTCCTCTCCTCTCCTCTCCTCCTTCCTCCCTCCCTTCATCCTCTCCCTCTCTACTCTCCTCCTCTCCCTCCCTCCTTCTTCATCTGCTCTCCTCATCTTCATCCCTCTCCCCCACCTCTCTCCCTCTTTCGCTTCCCTTTCATCCTGGACTTTGTCCCTCCCTCTATGTCCCCCCCATTCCATCCACGTGCCGCTATCCTTGCGTTCGACCAGCGACATTGCGGAGCTTCAGACGAGGGTGGCTGTTGACTTGTCTTGCCTCAGTGCGAGCAGAAGGTGCCGGAAGGTGCCTTGCGAATCTCCTCGACGACGCAGGAGGGCATGGAGGTTCTGTCAGCAAGAGTGATGCAGTCGCTGCAGACGCTGCAGGAGAAGAGGGAGGCGAGAGAGAGAGAGAGGAGCCGGTTCATCTACTGAGACCTACCAGGCTGTGCTGTGTTGTTTACAAATGAAGAGAAGGAGGATGAAGAGAAGGAGGGGAGGGAGAAGAAGAGAAGGAGGGGGAGGGGGAGGGGGAGGGGGAGAACACAAGAGGAGCAGGAGGAGGAAGAAGGGGAGGAAGCAGCAGTGGTGAGAAAGGAGGAGCGGGAGGAGGGGGGAGTTGAGGTCAGGCGGTAGTGACGAGATAGAACGTGTCCGAGAAGGCCTGGGGGACCTGACAGGGAGTGAGTAGGAGAAGCTTGACAGACGTGTACCTGCGGCAATCTTGACAAGAGGATGAATTGGAAATGATCCAGACAGTGCTGAGTGAACTGGTGCTCAAGGAAAAGTTCTCCGTCCTCCTTCTTGACCAGATGGAAAAACTTGTGATCCTGCAAAAGTGCTGAGATGAGAAATGTAGGATGAGATACAGGAAGGGGGAGAAGAGGAGGGGGGTTGTAAAGGGGAGGAGCAGAGGAGGAGGGGCAGAGGAGGAGACAGGAGCAGAGGAGGAGGAGCAGAGGAGGAGAGAGAACAGACGAGAGACGAGAGGAGACAGAACAGAGAGAAAAGAGGAGAGAGGAGCAGCAGAGACAGACTTGGAACCTTGGTGATGGAGCACATGACGATGTCCATCCAAAGTGTTGGAGAAATCTTGTCAAACCTGCGCAAGAAACTCACGAGAGCATCTGAAGAGACACCCAAAGACAAAACAGCGAGATGTAGGACAAGGACAAGGACAAGGACAAGGACAAGGACAAGGACAAGGACAAGGACAAGGACAAGGACAAGGACTACAATGACAAGGACTACAATCAGAAGAAAAACGGAGACGATAGGAGAAGGACGAGGACGAGGACGAGGACGAGGACGAGGACGAAGTCAGTCTCACGTCTGTTCCAACTTGACCCAGTCCAAGACCAAGTCGCCGTTGTCAATGACAAAAGGTTTGCCGTACCGTAGAGCCCCTATCAACGCTTTCCTCACCTGATGCACATTGAACGTCAAGCACTCTTACACCTTTCTTCTTTGCCTCCTCCCTTGACCTCTCTCCTTCTTCCTCCACTCCTTCCCTCCTTCCCTCCTTCCCTCCTTCCCTCTACCTCCTCCACTTCCTCTGCATCCGAATCTTCTCCCTTGCTCTTCGTTTCTCCCCGCTTCACCCCCTGCTCGCTAGTTCAGCTCTACCGTCTCGGGCTCGAGGTCTCCAGGCTTGTAAGTCATGAGCAGGTTGTTGTCACGGTAGCGCAGAAAAGTTTGCGCGTTGCTGAGGGTTACGATGAGAAGTGAAGTCGAGAGGGAAAGAAGAGGAAATGAGCTTTCAGTAGAGGACAAACAAGGGCGAGGCGAGGCAGCAGTGGAGGAGATAGAGGAGGACGAAGTTGAGGGAGAGGAGGGAGAGGAGGTGCAACGATAAGAAAGACCTCGACAGGTCGATGATAAGTGCTGGACGTCGATCCGCCTTCCTGATCTCATCCAACGTCTCCTGTAAGGCCCGCAGCCCGATCCGGCAGCTGCAACGGAGTGAGAGGTAGCAAGCAACAGCTCATCAAACCTGTGGGCAGTTTGCGGCACGAGATCCGCTGCTCGGGCAGAGTTCAGCTGAGCCCACAGTCCGAGACCAGCAGGTACTCACCTGGCTCCTTCTCTTGTGGGGGAGGAGTCCAGCAAGCGTGAAGCTCTTGCTCTATCCTCGCCCTTGCCTCTTCCATCCGCTCTGCCGAGAAACCAGCGAGAATCTTGCAACAAACGTCACTAATCTGCGCTAATCTGCGTCTTCGGAAGCAAGATCGACGTGATAAGCAAGTTATCATGAAAGCAACAAGTGTAAGCAGCATTGTGAACCACACGAAGATCATTTGCTACGTACAGGACCTGCTGGTCCACGTTCCTCAATATCACTTATCTTCTTCGTCCTCTTCTTTCTCCTCTTCGTTCTCCTCTCTCAGCGCATGTAAGCATCGCACCTCCTTCACTTCTTGGTCGCTCGCTGCATCCATCGGCGATTCCCCGTCATTGTTTCGGATGTCGCAGTTGGCCCCATAGGACAGCAGGAGCCTACACGCCTCCGGCTGACCAGCAGGTGTCAAAAACTGCGATCCAACCCTCAGCATGCTCTTCACCTTTCTCATGAACGCAGCACGGAAGATTGGCGTCCTCCCATGAGAATCTTGTAGATCTATCACTGACGTGGCTCCGTGCCTGACAGACTCGTTATCTCATACATGTTGGGTTCCTCCCCCTCCCCCCTCACTCCTCCCCCCCTCCTCCTTCTCCTCCTCCTCCTCCTTCTCTCACCGTCCTCCTCCCTCCTCCTCCTCCTCCCTCCTCCGCCACCTCCTTCCCTATCATACCTCAGAAGCTCCCTCAGCACAGACGTAGCTCCTCCCACCGCAGCCTGCATCTCAACGTCACAAGCGCAAGGAGCAGACGGCAGGCACCTCAGACAGAGGCGTCGAATTGTTCTCGTTCACACAGTCAGGCTCGACGTAGGAGGTCAGAGAATTGATTCCTCTATACCTAAACGCCAACGTCACCCCCCCTCCCTCCTCCCCGCCTGTCTAACCATGGATCGCAGAGACAAACACACGTCATGCTGTCCGGGTCGGTAGTGCAGGCTCGCTGTGAGACAGGAGGGAGGAATGAGCCAGTCGGACGAGGAGGAGGGTGAGGAGGAGGAGGAGGAGGAGGAGGAGGAGGAGGAGGAGAGTTCTTACTTGGATCTTCCCTGAAGCATCGGAGATACCCAATAGCTGACGGACCTGATGTGCTGTGAGACCCGTGCATCAGGTGGGAAAAGGTTGTTACGTCCTCTAGCTCGTCATCAAACGCGTGCTCAAAGATTTTCGTCTTTCTCCTGTTGTACTCCCTCTCCCGCTTCTTCTTGTCTTCCTCTTTCTTCTGGATGCGCTTTTCTTCCTCGAGGATCAGGGCAGTCAGCTCATCTCTCATCCTCTGCTCTCGCTCCCGTCTTTCTCTCTCCGCCGCCTCCCTCTCTTCTCGTTGTCTTTCGAGCTCCTCTTCAGCTTTCAACCTCTCCTCTTCGCTCATCTCTTTCTTCGCAGGCGATGCCTTCTTTGCTGTCGTTGTTGTCTTTGGCTTTGCTGTAGTTTTCTTCGCTGCGGGTGCCTTGGAGGAGCTCGTTGCTGACGACTTCGCTCCTGAAGCTCCTGGCTTCGTCGCTGCCACTGGCTTCTTTGCGGCGGCGGCTGCTGGTGCAGCTGGTTTCTTTGTTGTTGTTGTTGCTGCTGCTGCTGCTGCTGCTGCTGCTGGCTTGGCAGCGGACGAGCTCGCCTGAGCTTGTATGCGAGGAGCGCTGCTGGCTCTCTTGACTGGGCTAGGGGAAGTCACATCGCTCTTCTCGTCGCCTGTACCATCCTGTTACAAGTCACCCCAGCAAACTTCCAGCTCCTACCTGGTACGTCAGGTTTCGTGCTGGCCGGACGAGCGGAGTTAGCTAGGGGTGAGCTGGACTTGACTGATTTGGTGTCAAGGGGTCGACCCCCTGGCTGTTGGGTGGGTAACTTGGGAGGCATTCGGAAGCCTTTCAGGAAGGAACAGTCAGTATCGTGAAGCTAAGTTATCATGCTTGCCGTGGAATACATGGATATCTCTCTCCTCGCCTGCTGCAATCTCACACTGATTCTCCTGTATCCACTCACCCGTTTCCTTACATATCCTCCTCTCTTGACAATAGAAGCGATCTGTACACTAGAATCTTCCTTCAGCATCTGTGCTGTTGTCCTTCTCCTTCCCTTCCATCCTCCATTCTCCATCCCTACCTTCCTTCATTCTCCATCCCTACCTTCCTCCGTTCCTACTCCCTCTCGTCCTCTATGCCTCCATGCTGCTGCGCCATGCCTCCCCCTACTTCTTTCTGCGCCCTACGACATCGAGTCGCATCCGGTAAGCAAGCTGCTCTTATCACCGGTCTCCTCCTAATGAAAAGGTTGCTCGAAAGGGGGTGGGGTACTCCTGCGGTACAGGATTTTCCTGTGCATGGACTGTAGGGAAGGACGACGAGGAGGGGGCGGCGGAGGCGGTTGTGACTGTAGGAGGAAGCAAAAGCTTAGCGAGAAAGACCTCTCGCTTCCTTCCTGCCCTCCCCCTCCTACCCCACCTCTTCCAATCATCTCTTGCTATCTTGTTCATTGTCGTGGAGGTCGATGTTACGGAGTTCCGTTGCTTTCCCTAGATCAAGAGACAGAGAGGACAACATGGCTGCCTTGTCCTGCACTCTCTATTTCATTGAATCAAACAAAACAATTTGGAAATCAATTGTTTGCGGCAAGCATGGCGATGAGTTGAAGTCACTTCTTTTCCTTAGCTGCTGCACAAATTGTTGCAGAGCAGACGAAGGGGAATCAAAGTCAGGGAGTCAGCCTTCCTCCATGAGAGTCGACAGGCTCTTACCCGAATTCGTCGATACCGGACGAGATGCTGCATGAAAGGAATCTCAACTGAAGGAGAACCATAGGAGCAAAGAAACTCACGCAGAGTAACGCCCATCTTCTCTGCCTTACTCTTCACCAACTTCTGAAAGGCCAGCGCTTCCTCTCTGCTACTGCGGCTTCCGAAGCTTGCAGGCCTTCCTTCGTCTATTTCAGACCGTCAGTCACTGTACCCAACACCTTGATGAAAACCTTGCGCCTTCGGAGATTGGACTGGAGTTCCGCTTGCTGCAGTGTTTCCCTCCACCGGCTCACCTTCCTTGTCTTCCTTCTGAATTGCTTCTTTCACATCTTTGTGACTTTCTTCATTCTCATCCTTCTGATTTTCTTCTTTTACATCCTTCGTCCCGACAGCAGTGTCCTTGTTCTCCGAGGCTCCTTCGACTTCTTTCGCCTCATTTCCTGCAGGATCCATCGAAACCTCCTCCGGCGTCGTTTTCTTCTCGCCCTCTTCCTTTGAAGTTCTGCATCAGCTAGAGTGAGCAGCGGAGCTTTCGTAAGAGCACAATGTAGCCTACTCATTCGGGACGTCCTTGTCCTTCAACTCCTCCTCTGGGCCCTGTGCTTCTTCAACCTGCAGCGCATTTAATGTCGACCTGGGACGAGGTGCACATGGGTTACAAACCAAGTCTTCAGCTGTGGTCGAAGGCTCGCAAGAGCCCGTCTGTATCACTTCGAGCAGTCCAGAAGACGCTGCGTGAAAGGAATCGGACAGGTGAAGAGCCAATGATGAAAGATTCTGAGAGCGCTCTTTGTCTAACTTGGTCCTCTCTCTCTCTCCGTCTTCGTTGATCTTTGATCGTCTGGCAGACTGCAGCTCATAGAGTGTGTACGCCCTGAAGTCGTCATGCTTCGAGCCCTCCGCTCCCATTTTGAACTTCAGGATCTGAAGCGCGAAACGTTCGTGGGTGGGAGGTGGGGGAAACGCAGAAGTGACTGCGTCCGGATGTCCGAGGGTGTCAGTGCTGCTAGGAAGACGTTGAGATGGGGAGCGCCTGCCTTGTTGTCACTGCAAGCTACTACCTGCCCCTGTTCACTTCAGCGCTTGTCAAGAGGCAGGGGTAAAGGAGAGGCCGACGAGGACGGGTCCAAACTTCCGGGGCAACCTAGTGTTGGGATTATCAGGCAAAGGTCAGACATTTCTTAAATACCGTGATAATTAAAACTGGGTATGTTGTCGACTTAAGGTCAGGCGGAAGTACATTGATTGTCACCGAGTACAGAATGTGCGCGGCGCGGGAGGAGCAGGCAACACAAGGGGGGGGCTACTAGGAGGGAAATCATAAGTCATCCTATAAGTAAAATCAGTGAAGCCCCGACAGCGTGACACGGCCAGAGTATTCATCAGTGACTGACTGAGAGTAGTTATGATTTAACTCAACTTTGAGTAAAGATATAGTTATGATTTAACTCAACTTTGAGTAAAGATATAGTTATGATTTAACTCACTGACAACCGCCGGGCGACTCGGACGGCCCGGCCCGGCCCGGGCCGCTGTTCCGCTGGCCGGGCTTCCGACTCACCGTCAGCGAGGGGACTCACTGTGGGGCACCGGTGGCCAAGATGGTCAACGGCCATGCGATGCACTGACGGTAGCAACCGATGGGGAGGAGGAAGCGAGAAAGAGAGCAGAAGGGAGCAGAGCCGTGAGCGACTATGCTGAGATGAGAAGAAACTTGCGTGTCGGATGGACGAGAAAAGGACCATGGAAGGAGTCACGTCACCATGATGACTAGGCCGGGCTGTACATTGACCATGAACCCCTCACATCTCACAGGCATCGACACGTGATAGCAACCGAAATAACGATCAAGGTAGTCAAGAGATGATGTCTGATCTGAAAGAACAACAAGAAGTCGACGAGATGGTCGGCGAGAAATTCCTCCAGGGGCATCAAGATGCGGCGATGTTTCCCCAGGGCAGCATCGCGGACCTGGAAGAAAGCATCGAGACAGTCTGGAAGGCATTTGCAGATGGTGAGAATGCGAATAGATTCATCGCACATCTCTGATGGACATGTTGGCAGTCATTGGCAGCGAGAGTTCGTGCGTGTCCAGCGTGATGAAATCCAACAAGAAGATAGATCTTGTGCTCGACATGCTGCAGGTTGTGATATTGTGCGATGTCGTAAACAGCAGAACACGCCTGGCTCTCTTGTCTGATGTCTGCTGCAGAAACTCTCTAAGAACATTCAGAGGGGAAAGAAGATGGCTCTTGTTGCAAGAGACGAGCACGACGAGCAGTTGAAGTCTTTCATCTTTGAGATCCATAGCATTGCTGTGTTGTTTCAGTCTGAGACTGCGAGCAACACAAAGCAGCTGAAACACTTGTTAAGTCGATCTAAAGGTAAGACATCATGAAATTCAGTGTATGCAGCGAGTTTTCATGTCAAGAACCGACATGCACGTGTTAGGTGCTCTGTCAGACATCAAGTATCAGATCAACAGGATATCGGATGGATCTATTGTCTACACTATTCCATCAGCTCCGTCTGCGAACAAGCTGCTGCAATATCTGTACAAGAGATGGCTGAACAATCGGACTCTGATTGGAATACACCTGGATGTCTGGAAGAAATTCCATGAGTACAACAGGTATCATGCACGCATGGTGAAGATAGAAAAGGCTGTCTGGAAGATGCAACAGCGGGCTAGAGTACAGCAGATGTTCTTCTTCAACCTGTGGATGGAAGTGCTGGACTCCAAGCAGCGACTTGGCATTTGCAAGCAAAGAGTGTCTGCCAAGAGTCAACGCACTTGGATGATGGAGTTCCTCCGAAACTGGAAGAGCCTGACTTTTCGAAATAGACGGACCGAACGCTTCATCTCAAGGCAGCAGCGCTATGGGCTGGGTATGATGATGAAACGATGGATGCACTTTAAACTTCAAGTGAGGAGGAGGAGGAAGATCAGCGTAAGCACTGAGAGTGTTGCTAAGGAACATTGACAAGAGATTGACAGGCTGTGTTATCAACGGAGATGCAAAGTCGATATCAGCTCATCTCGTTTCAGTTTTGGAGGAGTGGGATAGTCTGGAAGAACAAGTGGAGAAGACTGAATGTTGCAAGAATGCAACACTCTCAGGCGCAATCATGCTTGTTCCAGCACTTGCTTCATTGGTTTGCGATCAAGAGAATAAGAATCAAAGTGAGAAGCAGATCCAAGATGCTTCAACGCCGGGATGCAGGGCTCGTGTTTGATTGCTGGAGGACTCATGTCAGCAGAATGAAGAGCCTGGCAAAGCGCAAGATGAATGTTATCATTCGCAGGCAGTGGAACCAACAAGCATCTTGCCTGCAAGTCTGGTGCAGTTATGTCTACATGCAAGAGACCAGGAAGATTGTACTGGTGAAGATGCAGAGGTGCTCAAATGTCATATCAATGCAATCGATCCTCAAGTATTGGTCCTACACAGCCAAGATCGTTCTGGAAAGCAAGAACTTGTACAAGTTGAGGAGGACGTTTCAGAGGCTGAAGAAGGCCCAAATATTGAGAAACTTGTACAGTAGAATCAAGGAATCTTGGGACTCAGTCAACAATCTTCAAATGCTCAAACAGTATTTCAATCGATGGCAGATCTTCTTTGACTGCATTTTAGCTGCTTATCATCAGCTGCGGAAAACAGCAATGGAGAATGGGCGACTAGAGCTCTCAGCAGTCTTCTCGGAATGGAGACAACATGTGGCGGTGACCATCTCTCTCAGATGGAAGGGAGAGCGCATTGCTGATCGGAACAGCTTGTACAAGCTACTCGCACACCTGCTGGCCTGGAACTCTCAACAGCATGGAAGCAAAAGTCGAAGCTCAGTCCGGCATTACTCCACCTTCTTGACCAAGACGAGGAGGCACAACCTGAAGCAGTACTACCTCAGGACGATGTACTCCTACCTCACCGGGGTCAAGTACATCGCGGCCAAGTTAGAGCAGGTAGACAGGAGGTTGAGACATCGGAGAACCAAGCAATTTTACCAAATGTGGCGTGGGCTGATACCCAAGAGAAGAGCTGTCCTCTCTCTCACAAGGAAGTTTCTTCGCAACTTTATGCATCTATGGCTCCACTATTTCCGTCACTCTGTGAACATGAAGGTGTGCAGGATGGTGTATGGGGCATGGTGCCCGGTGAGCCCTCTCCTCCCTCTCCCTCTCCCTCTCCCTCTCCCTCTCCCTCTCTTTTCTCTCTGCTCACAGCAGCTTCAGGAGTGCAAGCAGCCCCTTCGCGGGGTTGAGACCAAGGTAGACCTTGCGGTCGCTCGGAAGCTGCGAGAGCTGGCAGGCAGGGAGGCAGAGGAAGGAGGAAGCCTGCTGGACCTCATGGAGACTCGCGCTTCTTCCATCGCGCATGGCGACATGAGCGAGGCGCCGCTGGAGGAGCCAGCAGACTTCCAGCTGCACGAGCCACAGGACGAGAGAAAGACGCCGCGGGCGAGCAAGAGGAGCCCCAAGACTCGCAGGATGAGAAGTCTGCGGGTTGTCATCCCGAGCGCCGAAGAATCCATGTACCAGGAAGTGAACGAGGCGTTGATCTCAGCCCATGAGGAGCTGGGCAGATACTCCTTTCTGAGGGAGGAGCTGAACAAGGTCAAGGACCAGCAACAGGTCCGTCTGCTGCTGCTGCTGCTGCTGCTGCTGCTGCTGCTGGTGCTGGTGGTGGTGGTGGTATGACCTCGAAATCCACTTTGTTCTCCATGATTGGTTGGCCTGCCATCATGTTTCACTTTCATGCTTTGATCCCTAGAAAAAATATTCTAGGGCCAAAGAGTTGGTCCAAGGAGGAGGATCAGCAGGAGCAGGAGCAGGAGCAGGAGCAGGAGCAGGAGCAGGAGCAGGAGCAGGAGCAGGAGCAGGAGCAGGAGCAGGAGCAGGAGCAGGAGCAGGAGCAGGAGCAGGAGCAGGAGCAGGAGCAGGAGCAGGAGCAGGAGCAGGAGCAGGAGCAGGAGCAGGAGCAGGAGCAGGAGCAGAAACGTGTACCAACATCTCCGTCATCTCCTGCCTTTGCTGTCTCTTTGACGCTCTTCTACAGCCCAGATGGCTTCCTCCTTCACCCCCGCTCGGCTTGAATAGCGCCTCCTTCTCCAAGCTGTCCCCCTCCAGTCTCAGCAGCCTCATCTCCAGTCCACTGGCAAAGAGGAGGAAGCGGAAGCTGATTGTTATCGTGCAACAGAACGTCTCATAGCATCTGATGTGATCAACAGGTACAAGCTAAGGAGAAGATTGATGACAACAAGTCTGACATGTTGCTATCAACGTTTGCTGCTCTTGTACCTCAGTGCAGAGGCTGACATGCGTACAGACCCTCGACCTTCTCTCCGCTGGAAATCTCCAACTACATCTTCTCTTCCAGCCCTTCTCTCAACTACGCCAGGATGAGCAGAGTACACAGAGCTCTTGCTGACGCTGAGGATTTTTCAGAGGGGCAGGGGGAAGAGACGTAGGGGAATCAAGTATCAGTACGATGAACATCTAAGAGACCAGGACAAGTTCATGTCATGTCAGGTATTCACACGTGTGTTTAATAGCTCGAGGACCCGGGGCCCGACCTTCAGTCTCGAGCAGCCTTGCCGATCTCACCAGCAGGGTGGCAGCGACTGAAGTCCTTCTTGGAGAATCGCTTCCTCTTGGAGAGAACAACAGCTAACGCGTCGCCCACTGACATCATCACTATGGCACTTGCGGTAGGTGCCAGTCTGCTCGGGTAGTCAGAGGAGCATCCAAGTAGCAACATACGTCACCCGTTATGGTCCAACTCCTTGTGCTTGCCGATGGGTATGCAGAGCGAGCACAGGCTGCTCAGCGTCGAAGTCTCGGAGGAGCAGACGGCGATGGTCTTGACTCGCATCTCCTTGAGCGATCGAGCGACGTCGAGCACCTCTTGCGTCTCTCCACTGTTGGACAGCAGGAGCACAACATCTCCTCCTCGCACCACCCCCAGGTCGCCATGCAGAGCTTCAGTCGCGTGCATGAAGAGGGCCGAGGTCCCCGTGGACGAAAATGTCGCTGCGATCTTTCGCCCGAGATGACCGGACTTGCCGATTCCCACAACAATTACACGGGAGTTGGCATCAAGCCTCTCCAGCATCGACACAGCATCGTCAAAGGACGCGTCTACCTTGTCCGCCAGCCTCATCAGCGCCTCTGCCTCCTCCTGGATCACTCTCCTTGCCAGACTGTGCGGGGACGTCTTCTCAAGCTCACATGCCGGCCTGACCTCCTCTATCTTGGAGATCAAGAACTCTTTGTTCCCGTCCAAGTTGGTCGCTCCCTCCCCCAGACTCCCCTTGCAGTGTCGCCGACCCAACGACTCCGTTGAGCTGAACCCGCGGCACCTCCCGCTGCCCGCAACCTTCTGCGCAACCTTCTGACTACCCAAGAGGAGCCCCGAAGTCTTTCTACACAGCATCAGGCATCTCTTAAGACTCGCCATCGCTTCAACTAAGTGCTCAGCTCCTACTGCATTGTGTTGACTTCGCCTCGGCCGGGTGGTTGAGCACGAAGAGAGCAGGTATCAAGTGCAAGTTCTGGTGTACACGGTCTCTGCAGCTCAACCCGAGATACGAGAGAGAAAGATCTGCAGAACCAATGGAAATCAACATTAGGAAAAGGTTCAACAAGAGGGGTTATGGAGAATACTGAGTGAATAGTCTGGGATATGAGACTCATTACGTCTGCTTCTTCAACTAGAACGAAGTTGGCTAGCAAGCATAATTCCCTTCGAGATAGTTCGACCCCTACCATGTGTCAAATGTTCATGTTCTTTCTCACACATCTTCTAAAAATCTTCGTATCCTTCTCTCGTCTTTCACTTATAAGGAATCCATATTCCGTTCTTGCATTATCAGCAGAACCAAGCTGCAGATTATTTGTTCTCGGCCTCTTCTCTTCTTTCCATCATTCTCCTCCTTCCTTTTTTCCCTTCTGAATTCTTTCACCCCTCCTGCCATACCCTCCTTCTCTTTCCACTCATCTATCTAGGATTCAACGCCAATTTCCATCTTCACCTTCAACCTTCGCCATCTCTCCGCTTCTTATATCTTTTCCCTCTTCCTCCTCTTGATCTCTTTATGCTTTTGAACCTGTCCACGCACCTATCCCTGCTCTTGCTCCTGCCCCAGCTCCTGCCCCTGGCCCTGCCAATGTCCCTTTCCCTACTCGTTCCTTCTCTCTCTCTCTCCCTCCCTCCCTCCCTCCCTCCTACCCTGCCTCCCTGCCTGCCTGCCTGCCTGCCTGCCTGCCTGCCTGCCTGCCTGCCTGCCTGCCTGCCTGCCTGCCTCCCTCCCTCGATCCCTGCCTCCCTCGATCTCTCACTAGCTCACTCGCTCGCTACCAAGCCGTGCACAATACACAGAAGAGGGAGGAG